TTTTTCGTTAATAGGCAGCTCCCGAAATGTCATTCAAGTGAGGCGATTTATGCGACGTGTACGAGGTGATGATGGCTCGGTGCGGTTTCTTCCTACGCAGACCGTAGCTGTTACATTTGCCTCCACTCAACTTCCAGAATTTGTATACTTAGATTCTTGGCGTCACGAGGTCAGTCAGTTCATTCCTCCTGTTAAGCAGTGTCTACGCTGCTTGAAATATGGACATATAGCCAAATTTTGTAAGAATGCCGAAATCTGTTCTATATGCACTGGTAACCACAACTACAAAGCTTGCAACGTTAAATCTGATAACGCTAAGTGTGTCAATTGTAGTGGGAATCATATCGCCATTTCAAATAATTGCCCCATTAAAAAACAAAAAATCGAAGAAAATAAAATCAAGGCTCACTCTGTAAAATATTCAGATGTTTTAAGGGAGCAAGCATTTCCACAATTACACGCAAAAAACATAGATACCCAACTTCAAAACTTAGTGAAATCAGACAAATTTATGAATATGATAACTGAAATTGTCACAAATATTATTATTACTAATAAGGACCAAAATGTGCCTATTAACTCCAGTTTTATTCGAGATGTATTTAATAAAACTTTAAGCAAAAAAGCTACCTTAACTCAATAATGGTTAATACCTTAAATATAGTTCATTGGAATGCCCAGAGCCTAGGTTGCAATAGGCTTGCCCTATCACAATTTTTATTTGAACAAAATATTCATGTAGCTTTAATATCAGAAACATGGCTAAGGCCAGAACAATCATTTAATATGAAATACTACAACATTGAACGTAATGATTCTGGTAACAAACATAATGGTGTTGCTATTCTTATCCATAAAAGCTTAACATATAACAAAATAACTACATATTATGACAATTCTTTACAAAATATATGCATACGTTTAACTGTAAATAATAGAGAACTTAGTTTAGTAAGCTTTTATTCTCCACTCCAATGTACTCCTAGGTTCGATAAAAATAAGTTTGAAACTTTAATTAAATCTATTCCACAGCCTATGATTTTTGGTGGCGATTTTAACGCTCACCATACTTCATGGGGATGTGGTTCGGACTCGATTCGTGGCAGAGAGGTCTTAGAAGTGATTGACAATAACAATCTTGTTTTGTTGAATGATGGTCAGGTTACAACAGTTGGTTCTATGTCTTGGCGTCCGAATGCTCTGGATCTATCTATAGTTTCTCCGTCGTTAGCTCTTTCATGTGATTGGTCTGTACACGATGATCCTCTTGGCAGTTATCATCTCCCTGTAATTATCAAAGTTCTTGTTAGAAAAAAAGGCAACAAAAGTTCTGATTCACATAATAATAGTATACATTTGCCCATCCACCCTAATTTTAAGATGGTTGATTGGAAAATGTATACCCAAAATGTAGAGTCCCTTTTAACAGACTGCAAATTAGAGAATTATACACCAATTGAAGCTTACTCTGCATTTTGTAAAATAATTAATTTAGCTATAGTAAGGTCGCTTCCACTTAGCAATTCTGCATCTATCAAAAATAGTAACAATACTAGGAAATCACGAGCTTTGCCCTGGTGGAACAAAAAATGTTTAGAAGCAGTTCAGAAATCCAAATTGTCATATGTTAATTTTAAAAATAATCCTTCTGCTGAAACATATATAGAGTTCAAAAGATTACAAGCTTTAAAAAAACTTACCTTGAAAACTGAGAGAAACAATAGTTGGATTGATTTGTGTAATTCTTTTAATCGTTGTACCCCCTTGTCTCGAATTTGGAAATTAATGCGTAAATTTAACAAAACATATTCTTTCAGTAATAATAATAATGATGATTGGATTCCAGAATTTTTACAGAAATATACCCCAGATTATGTACATAATTCACCTAGTTTTCCCATAGTTGATCATTCAAATACTTCATATAACTATTTAATTAAACCCTTTTCTTTTCAAGAGTTGTTGTCTGCAATTCATTCTAGAAGGAATACAGCAACTGGTCTGGATGGCATTCCTTATTCCATGCTCAAAAAGCTCAGTGATAATAGCCTCCAAATCTTCTTATCCATTTTAAATAGTTTGTGGAGAAATAATGATATACCCGATCCATGGAAGTCTGATTGTATAGTACCCATTTTGAAACCAGATAAGCCCAAATTGAATCCAAACTCATATCGTCCAATCACTCTTACATCTTGTGTTGGAAAAATCTTTGAACAGTTGTTAAAACAACGACTTGAGTTTTTTGTGGAACAAAATCACATTCTACCTGCAAATCAATTTGGATTTAGAAGAGGAATGTCTGCTCGTGAAAGTATTTGCCAACTTCATCTTGATATTCAGAATAGTTTAGTTAATAAGAATTTCTTGGTATCTGTATTTTTTGATGTTTCTGGTGCCTTTAATAATATAAATATTCATGTGCTTTGTTCTGAATTGGCTTGTTTAGGAATTCCAAGTAAAATAATTCAATGGATTTATAAATTTTTGACAGAAAGGGAAGTGTATGTCAAATATAATAATAATTTATATGGTCCTAGACGTGCATCCATTGGAGTTTGTCAAGGAGGAATTCTGTCTCCCTTATTGTTTATTCTGTATATAAGACGTCTTAATTTAGTACTAGGTTCTCATGTTAAAAATTTACAGTTTGCTGATGATCTTGTAGTTTATGCATCTGGAAAAAAATTAACAGAAATTACCAACATTGTAAATAAATCTTTAGAAGGTCTTTATAATTATTTTTCGTATTTAAATCTTGATATCAATGCCCACAAATCAAACTTAGTTATATTTGGAAAAATTCATAGCTCAGCCTCCATTGTATATTATAACAAAATCCCTATCCCCATTTCTTGTGAAGCAAAGTTTTTAGGAATATCATTTACTTACAATGTGTCATGGAACAAATATGTTGAAATTATAAGTTCAAAGGCTAACAAAGCATTTAATGTTTTAAAATCATTATGCAGATCATCCTGGGGAGCTGATCCCAAAATATTATTAATACTTTATAAGTCTCTCATTCGCAGTCATTTTGAATATGGGTTTCTCTGTTTTTCTGGTGATAATAGACTGGTGGATAAACTAGAAAAAATCCAAAATAAAAGTATGAGAATTATAACAGGAGCATTTAAAAGCACACCTATAAATTCATTACAGGTTGAATGTGGATTACCTCCATTAAATATAAGATTTTCCTACTTGAAAGAAAAGTTTATTTTAAAACTTTACACAAAAAGAAATAATCACCTTTTTTTAAACTTGGTCAATTCACATATTTCAACAGAGAATCTTTACATTCTTCAGAATTTTTCCCAATTTTTAAATTATATTAATGGCTTGCAAATACACCAGTCAGAATTGCTACCTTGTTATCAGGGACAATTTGAGAGTAAATTCCCAGCAATAAATATTTTCATTGATCATAAATTATCTTGTAAGCAAGATGTTTATAATAAATTTTCTGAGTTTTCTGGTCATCGGTTCTTATATACAGATGGTTCAAAAACAGAATCAGCAGTCTCTTTTGCAATTTTTGATGAGCAATTGAAGTTAGGTACAGGTTACAAAATTAATTCCAACACAAGCATATTTACAGCCGAGGCTCTGGCTATTCTTGCAGGTCTAAAACATATTAAATATAAAAATAATGGATGTCATAAGTGGGTAATAGTTAGTGACAGCATGAGTGTTTTAGAAAATCTTAAAAACAATAAGTTCAATGCTAACACAAACTATCTTATATTTTCGATTAAACAACTTTGGTTAGACTTGAACATTATGGATAATATTCAAGTATCATTTGTTTGGGTTCCTTCACACATTGGTGTGGTAGGAAATGAAAAAGTTGACTTTTTGGCAAGGTTTATAACCAATTCTTCAATAATCCCTGATTCCAGCAATAGCCTTAATATAACTGTTCCAAATAATGACATAATTTTTCTTTTAAAAAATAGATCCACTAATTCGTGGAAAAAACATTGGAATTTTAAAGTCCAAATAGAAAACAAAGGTTTATGGTATGCTTCTTTTAACGTTCCTGTAAATTCTACACCTTGGTTCTGCAAAAGTAACACTTACTTTAACAGGAAATTTTATACAACTATCCTGAGGCTTCGTTTCGGTCACTGTAGTCTAAAATACCATCTTTATCGTCTAAATATAGTACAAAGTCCCTTTTGCGATCGTTGTGACACTCAAACAGAGCAGTCTTTGGACCACATATTCTTTGAATGCCCATCCTTTGGCATTCAGCGCCTTGTGCTAATGGATGAGCTGATTGAGATTTATAAAAGTCCGGAACGGGTACCGCGCTCTACTTCAAATCTGCTCGTAAATACCTCCACATTTCTACCTTTGTTTAAATTTGTAGATAGCACAATTGGGCAAATATAGGTGTACATAGCTTAGGATAATTTTTACGTGTCTTTGTTGTATTTAGTCACTTTTTTCTTCTTTTTTATCCTATTTCGATTTTTTTGAGAATGAAGTCTCGAATGCATAGGTATTATTTGGTTGATGTCAATATGAAACGGGAAGTAACTTTTGTTTGTTGATGTTGTAAGTCAAAGAATAATTCAATGGGTCTTTGAAATTTTTTGAAACGTATTTTTATTGTAATTTTGTTTTTATACTGAAGAAGTTTAATATCATTTTTATAAACTGAAGACTTAACGTCATTTTATAATACTAAGAAATACAATTCAACCAATGACGAGGCAGTATGGTCTATGATCTTAGCCTGTTCCGGAAGGAACTATCATTTGTATTGATTTTTGTCGCTGCTGGTGAATTTCTTGTGAAAATTCTTTTTAAAATAATCTAAAAGCCCTCGAATTTTCAAGTGCGGAGATCTAAGTAATTAGGAATGGTTTTAAATAATCTACACTGCTTTTCGCTCTCATTGCTTATTGCGTAGCCAGCCGTAACGTACCAACTTATGAATACATTTACTTTAAACGAGCGCTTCTGACAAAAATATTTCGTTTTAGGTGAAAATGAGTGCTATAGCGCAGCAGGAATCTCATGTTAAGGAGAGTTTATTTCATTTTATTACTAAAAACTTTCCTACCGCGGATTTAAACGTAATCGACGACATCGTCCTCTCCTACGTGATTTCAATTTTAGAGGAGGCTTCACAGGACCCTTGTTTTGATGTAGAAGGTAAGAAGTACTTCAACATTTTCTAGAATAATTTAGTTTCCATTTTCTTTGTTTTTGACCTAAGTACTTGCATAATCCTTTCATACAGACACTAGTTTTATTTGTTTTCTAAATCTTTTGTTCTTGCACATACGAAAACTTGTTTGAATATTATGCTTTAATATGAAGTACTTCTCGATTTTACTATTTAATATAGAATAGCAATTATCAAGTGCTGATAAATGGGACTTTAAGACGTGTACAGTAGTCTAAGTGTTGTCTGTTCTTTTAGAATTCATTATTTATTTGACAATTAGTGAATGCTTAAGAAATTAAAACAGTATGGAGTGTCATATTTTATTATGTTGAAGATTTGTAAATACAAATATCAATGTCTTTGTCTATTAACATCTTGCCCTGCTCATGCTCTCTGTTTATGGCATCTGTTGTGCGAACTACATTGTCATCTATTGTCATACTATATCTTAATTAATCCCAATGCGAATCTTTGTTTTTGCCATATAACTCAAATGATAATAATAAATCTTAATTATTTCTATGAAAATATTAAATTTATAAGAGTGCCAAGATTTTTCTTTCTTATTTAAATGCATTTATAGGGGCAAGTCTTTCAATAAACACTATGTTTGCAGGCTTTATAGAAATGATGGCGGCTTACATACCAGAGTTTGCCCGTATAGATGCTGGTCAGGTATGCTCATGGGTCTTGGAATTGGAAGCAGAATTGTCACGCAGGGAGGAATCAGATTCTATCTCCAATAATGGTATATCATTCTGTTAAAAGTTATTCATGAAGACATTTTGCACTTAATGCCTTACTAAAGATTTATTGGGCAGCCCAAATGAGAATAAAATTTTAAATTATCCATGTAAGGTGACTGTGTAGCCCGGGGGCCCTGTATCATTGACATGGCAATACCTACGCTCCTGGTTATAAACCAAGACTGACAGCCATGTAGTAAATACATTATTTTAATTGAAAGTGTATTTGTTTTAGATGACTCTGCCAGCAGTGATAAGATCAGCTTAACTCTGCAGAGCCTCAGCGAGATGTTGCCTTCTGTTCCTGCTAAGAACAATCGGTGATTACTCAGTTTTTGGCAGTGTGATGAATTTACATTTCTGTATGATAATAAAATCAACCTATGCTCCAGTGTCTATGGTAGCAGCTTTTGCCTCTTATGTTATTCATAACAATATTAGCTTTCCACTAGTTTTATCGCCTGCATTGTTCCTAGGGAACTGTTTATTTGGATATCAGTACATATCTTGATATGGATGGCTTTAATTGTAAACAAAGGTCAATATAATAACGTTATAATTCCCCATATAAACTTCCATGCCCAAATTCTTTCCTACATTTGCTGTTTTACAGGATAAAATATAGACAATGTTATTAAAGATTTTTTAAAATCTGTCTTGAAAAAAGACTTGAGTATTTCTTGAATGAGTTGTTTAATTGAAGTAGTCATCGTCGCACGGCAATCTCCTCAATTCTTATCGCAATTAGTTCACTATTTCTAGTATTGGTTCCTTTATCAAGAAAGAGAGTAAAATGGACATTTAGATGTATAAGTAGTGGATCTGAAAGTAAGACCGTTGCTTGAGTAACACAATCTTTTTGTGTAATCAACCTTAAAGATGGGTACTTTCACCCAATCTGGACAAGGCCTAAAAGTAGCCAATTGTGTTCATTTATTTCTTGCCAGATCCCATTCTAACTCTGAGAGCTCTGAGAATGCTGACAGCGGTCGTCGTGCTGTCTTGGAAAGTGATGAGCATGCTGCCCAGTGTCGCGCTCTTCATGAAATGTTTCCAAACACCTGCGCTATGGAGGTAAGGTTAATCTCGTAGTACCATCATCATAATTATACTCTATTATGTGCTATAAGCAACCATGCAGGCTTAGTGCGAATTTGTTGGTGTTATTATTTACTGCAGATACAGCAGGGACCAATGGCTTATCGGAGGGGTTCAAGATAATAGATTTTTAGGAACCCCAGTTGATTAATCTCCATCACCACAACGCCATCGAACTCCTTGATAAGAGTAACTAATAAGTTGCCTTTTTTTATTACTAGTGTATTGAAACGTGGCGTGAAACAATGCTGACTCCTTTTTTTAACTACCTGCATTCAGTGACTTAGCGTGAAATAATTTAGACGTGGGTAAAGTCCCATCAGCGAGGTTCAATTCTTCGTTTTCAAATCCTGTTAATTGTTCCTGTTTATATTCCAGATCTAGTTTGTTTTCAATAAAGGGTTATTTATAAAACGCTACCAAACTGGCAAAACTGGATAGTTAATAATATAGTACTATAATTTAATGTTTTTAATTAAAATGAATTTCCAAGGTTCGACATTACATGTCGTGACGTTTATAGGTTACGGTAACGCGCTGACGAATCTTGTTGATACGTAGATGTATTAACATCCAAGTGGTAAATAAATTTAAAACTTATTTTTGTATGAAAGCGAAACGTTACGAATTGTCGGTCATAAAATAACTATGGTCATTTATGATAGTTAAAAAATATTGAATATTAGACAAGATCACATACATCACTGAGACAGCAAGAAAACTAAAACTCGCATTATGGAGTATTTGAGATAGTGAACATAGGTTATTATACCACTAGTATACCCAAACCTGAGATAATGGAAAAGTTAATTTTTGCATATTGGAATCGAAACCGAGAGCTCAGAGATGGTGACACTTTGAAACCGGCGTGCGAACCACTCGGCTACATAATTTCCAATAAGGACTACAGTCCTTGGATATTGTTGGTGTTTTACAACTAACCCTGTATATTTCATTACTGTGGTCATATTACGGGCCAAACAAAGTACATCACGATTTTCATAATTTTCACACAATGATAATTCCTTATTAAAATATTAATAATTCTTATAACAATGTACACACATTATACAGTACACTATCTTGAAAGTTTCAAAATCAGTTTTCGTTTGTCCCTTGCCCGCTGCCCGGCGAAGCATGATGAATTTGCAAGACTCAAAAACCTGGCGAGAAGGAGATGAAAATAGTTTAGGCATATCTCACTCTCGTCCCTTCCTCGATTTTCTCGAAATATGTTTATCATGCTAGATAGATAGATAGATATAGAATTTATTTGCTTCACTTCACAAACACTGATACACCTCTTAATCTATAATTTTAATTTACGACACTAAATTCGCGTGAGTCAGTCATATTTGCTCAAAAGGAGAAAAATACTGATTTCTATTTTCTTCTGCCTGAGGTATGAGATCCATGAAACAGTCGTATTCTCATCTAAAAAATAAAAATGCTACGCGGATGCTGAGGGGTCTTAATCGACCACTTTTGTATCTTTTTTAGATAAAGCACTGCGTATCTATCGGCGGTGGTGATGTTGAGCGGGCAGCGGCTACTTTACTCGTGCGTAGGGAACAGGGACAGTCGCTGGCGCCCGCACTGCTCGCCGCTAGACCTGGAGCCAGGTGCGACGAGTCAGAGCTCAAATCACGCATCATCGCGCGGTAAGTCTTCTATTAGTCCAAGTGCCAGTGTCCAGTGCAAAAATGGAAAAAAGCTTTCGTAAGCTTGATATTTTCACACTTAGTACACCAATATACTGAATTATGAATTCTCAGAAAACTTTGCACTTTTATGTCACGAGCTCTCCATACTTTTATGTCCGATTCACTAAACTTAGGAGTCGCCTATCTTCATTAAGATATTACACTTCATCGCCCTGTCTAAGCTATTAGACTTCAATGTTCCTTAATATAATTCTTAGTATTATAACTTTAGTCTGAATAATTATAACTTCAGTTTGTAGAATTATATTTAAAACTGGACTAGAAATTTAAACGTAAATTCTTCAGAATATGAATTTATCTTCAAGTGCTAAATCGAGTGCTATTGTCGTAACTATATCAACTATCGTCAAATTTCAGTTATTCTTACGTGGACAAGAACTCTGATACCAAGGAGCACAAACCACTGGCACCCAAAATCGAGCCAAAGAAACTAGTACGATACCGGGATAATAAAATCGTATCTTTGAAGGGGGAAAGGTACACTGAGGTGAGTATTTATACTTTACAGGTTAGATAGATAATTATCATGAGATTCATATATAAAATAAATACTCATAAAAAAGAGACTATCGGCCGGAATAAGCCTCACCAAGAAGTCTCCACTAGTCTCGGCTAAAATTGCCGCCGAGATCTCGGTCTCGTTCTAGGTTAAAAACTGCCGAGACTGTACGGCGCACGATTATTGGCTGCGGAACAAAACCGCATGATTATTATGATAGACAAACTGACGCATGCGATTGGCTGATCGGTAAATAAAATAGTACTGCTAGTTGTTCGCGTATCCGGCCATTCATTCGTTCGTTTCTTTCTACAATTTGTAAACAATAGCGGCTATTTTACGATTTCTTAAGATAAACAGTGACAGAGACCTTTTGTGATTTTAATATTGTGAATTATATAGATTTACTCTTGTGATTTGACTACTGCCTACTAAAAAATCAATAGCTTAGCTGAAAAGCTTGCATTATTACAAAATTATTACAAGTAAAATATATCTATAATGAATTAATAGATTTATTAATAACGAATAATTTATGTATGTCCTTACTGATGAAAACAGTTTTTACTATTCAATTGATGTATTTAAAATAATTATGTCGATCGACAAAGAACAAGAATGACAACCTGGCAGTATATTGGCGCGAAACTAATCAAGTCAAACTGACAACTAACTAACAGATAGGGATGCCTGTAGCATAATCGAAAAATAGTGCTGCCAGTAATATAAACAAGATTTAAAATCGTTTCCTTATTTTCACCATATTAGTGGACGACTCTGACTACCTAAAATACCCTCTCTCGACCGGGACTAAAATATCAATCTCAGTCGGGCCTTAGTAGGAAATCTCAACTGATTATTCTCAATAACTTAAGTTTTTCAATTTTCACAAGGCATGAAGTCCGAGTTTTTATCAAACTGCTATACACTGATTATTAAAAATCTAAAATCAGACACGAAAACCTGTTTAAGTGACGTTTAACTACAATAGGGATGATGACTAATTTTTGTTTGTTTGTTCGTCAGGTAGTGTTAAAAAATATTAAACATGTATTTTTTAATTTTTTTCGTAATCATAAAATTACGGCGTTACATTGAGTTGAAATTTCGCATGACGTCACGTTAGAGTACATTTTCTACTCAACTGTGACGTAGCGAGCCCCCACTCCTCAACTTTAATGCCTGTTATATAAACTATTTCTTGTTAAATTGAAGTAAAAAAAAAAATATATTTTTCTAATATCTGACTGACGGACTAAATAGAATTGCATTTTTTTACCCAGTCATCATCCCTATTTAAGACGTGCTTAACTTTTAATAGTCAACTCAGAAACTGGGTGTAAATATAGAGGTAAATAAAAATTCATAGACTATTTGGAGGTACAACTGTTCTTTGTTTTAGTTTAACAAATAATAAAATCGATGCCAAAATGGCGGAAATTTTGACTCTTTATTTTTTGATAAAAAATCTGAATAAAATGCTCACAGTATATTTTGAAACATAAGTTTTTATTTTCCCTTTTATCTTGTTGAAATATCTCAAAGAGCAGTCAATTAAGCGAATATATTTCTAAAGTAAATATTCAACTTGTAGGTGCCAAAATCCGGTATCGACGAGGAACATTTGAAGAAACCCAAAAAACAGCATTGCCCTTAACCATTAAAATCACATCAGTACGGTTTAAAAGCGGCCCTTCGCGCCGCATTAGCCCCTAATCCCGCACGCCCGTTAGATAACTCAGAGCGCGATAAATTATACATTGATCGCGAAAACTCTCATTGTGATCGCGCGGAGTGCAACTGCGATCGCGCGGACTGCAACTGTGATCGCGCGAACTGCAACTGTATATTCCGCGATTGCAAAGAGATTTTTTCGAGCGTGCCTTATCGCGCTTCCCTTAAATGTGTAAATGTGAATTCTCTTAATATTAAGCTTAGTGTAGTAACAATTTTCGTCGTTTTTACGTGTATTTCGACGCGCGTAATCAGTTGTACTAGTCATATTTTATTGAATCTCATTGATATTTGCACAATTTTGACTGATTTATCATTGGTATTGACGAGCGCCGTAGCGCAATATGCTTGGATAAGTGTCACATTGACAGATTACTTAATGACAATGAACGTTAACGTTCTAACAAATTTGACATGCTTGACTGACGTTATTTTCACGGTAACGACGATTTCAACAACAGTAGTTCTAGTTAAAAACGAAAAGACTATTAATATTTACATGGATTTAAAAGACGCCGCAAGTGTAACTTTCATGTATGTCATTTACACTATCGGGCATAGAGTGAGTCACGTTAATACAGCGATTGTTGGTTTTACAAAAATTGTCGCGATCTTAATGCTGAATTTTGGCATATTATTATTGATAACTTTCGTCCACGTTTCATTATTAATTCGTGTTATTTTCAAGTATTTAATATATTTAGCTAGAGTTAATTTTAAGCCGGCTGATGTCGCGTGTAACGTGACAGTATTTTGCTCTTTTCTGACATCAACAGCCTTTATCGATAACGTGAAATCGATAACGAATTTCAGATCAACAGCCGAGGCCTTTAAAGACTTAAATGACACAATTAGAATAAATATGTCACTAATTTTATTGAAACTAATTAAACGCGTGAAATATACGCTTGGATTCTTGACGAACTCGAAAATGTCTCGTTTGAAGCGAATCGAGTTAAGCGGTAGTGTAGTTGGGCGTGCGTGTTGTGTACGTGTTAGAATAGAAGCGCGCGATTCGCACTTTTTTTATCTGCTTTTGACCGTTACTGATTTTTTTAAGTGTCACCCTGGCACGGGTTCACGTGAGTTGGTTTATTACTTTATGATTTACGTATTTATTGTTAATTGTAAGGATTCCCTTAGGCAGCTGGTATACAGTATTAAATCTGTGCGATGGACGGTGGAGTGTGTTCAGTATAGGAAATTGGTGTGTGATTTAGGTAATATTTTATGGGCAGCTGCATCAAATATTTTTGTGTCGAGATTTTTGAGAAATCTCGACGGTTTGTTCCCGATAGTTTTAAGCGTAGATAACTTATCACCTGTGATTATTTATTGTTATTATAATTTTATAATTATAAATGTGATTCCTAACGTAGTTTTATGGTTTTTGTACTTGTCTGTGATTCTGATGCCATTTTATCTTAAAGAAATAATTTTAACGTACCCTGTAAGCGGTTTTTTAAGTTTAGTGTTTTCGTTCGTCTCTCACTGTAATGCCGTGGGCGTGGCGTTGTGATGCTGGTTATTTTTAGTCTGTGGGGTGTGTTAGTGGTCTTGGAGATTTGAAAAAGATTTTTTAAATCTTGTAGTATTTTATAGTACTCGATCAAGATTTTGAATTTTTCGAATGTGAGAGAGAAAAGTTATGTACTGAATGCTCCTTCTCCAAGATGCACTGACATCCTTTGAACAAATTTTAGAATTGTACCAACAACTCGAATAGACTGACAAATTCACAAATATGATCTCATACAATGAGGAAAGATTGTTCTTAATTATTTAATGTTTAGATACTATATTATCAATCTATCTGTTATTTTGTCTGTAACTTACTAATGGGAAGGGTCTGTTATATTTTGATTGAACGATTCCCTATTATTAATATACCCACTTCTGAGGCATAAGACATCTTTATGGAGAGAAAAGAGAAAGAACGAGTCACGAAGCTCCACGGGACTTAGTGCATATTGGAGGATATTAATGACTGAAAATGCACCAAACACGCCTTAAATCAACCCATCCAAAGCACAAAGAAAAATGTCGGTTAAAACAATCAAATAATGTTACATAGCGCAGTCGCCGAACAGAAAGAATTTCGTACAATAACCCGGCACGTATCTCTTTCACTCGTGCGCAAACATATTGCTATTGCGCTCGCACAAATGCAAATAGCCAACTTTGTCACAGTAAATAACATACCTATTAGTAGACACAAAGGTCTCTCTTTTCGGCGACCGTGCTATGTAACAGTATTTGATTTAATTTTTCATATTATGTATTTCATATTAAACAAATAATTTTGCGGCAACTTTATATAAAATTAACGTAAACTAATATATATTTTTAGAATAATTTCTTTGATTTACTCCAAAGTCTTATCTTTAGAGATGACATTGAATGATGATCTATTTTATGGCGTAACAATTTTTGGAATAAAGTTTCATTAAAAATAAAACGTTATTATGAGCTGTGATCCTCAAACTTGAAATATAACGGACCCAAAGACCCATATCTCTCTCTCTAATAATTTGGCGTGTTAATATAAATTGATATTGTTGATTGATTAATGATATGGATTCGTTCAAATGTTGGTATTTGGTCATTAAATAAAAATTGCGCATATTGAAAGGTTGTCAAAAACATTGAATTTCTAAATCAAATCAATCCATATAATTTCCTGATAGAATATATAAAAATTATCACAGTCAGCACGTGAGCGAAAGTTGTCTGGATTGGGAACAACATAAGAATTCTGCCTGAAGTATATAATTATATTTTCTTAAATTTTATATTTTAAATGGTTATATAGGTTATATTTTAAATTAGCACCGTTTTACAGAATGGTAGGCAGATATAAAATAATGGTAGGTAGGTTATAACTGTGAACGATGATATCGAGCTACTTCCACCCCAGTCAATACCTGCTATGTATCTCCTGAGTATGCTCCGGCCAGGAACGAACACGTGCAGAGGGGAGGGGGTAGGGGGGCTGCGATATATGTTTTCGTTTGTGCAGTGGGAGAGCAAAGGTTCGTCGCCATAAAGTTGAATTTTGCTTTCAACAACTCGATAATAATTAGCAATAACCACAAAGATAATGTACTCAATTTTAATGTCAATGTTATTCTAACAGTAACAGATGTAATGCCAGTTCTATAGCAGCTTCTTCCATCAAAGAATTATTTATCTATCATTACCTACCTATTTTAGGTTTATGGTTATTCTTAAACTATTTTTATGGTTATAAAAAACGGGATCTTTTACTCGTAAATACAATGACAAAATTTTAAATAAAAATAAACCTTTTCATCCATGAGTCGAGCATTGTTTTCTGTGTAGTATTATATTTTGTGACTTAGTTTCATAAGGTAATAAGTAAGGCCGGACTGGGTGTAGAACCTTCTAGATATCATTGTGTCACAGTTATAATTCCGAAGTGATGTGTTTACATTCTTTCTAGTTAAAAGTTATTCTGCATCTTTCAAGTTGAAGCATTTATATGTATAGTTGTACGTAGTTAGCAACATTTGAACGTTACCACGAAGTGATTTAGCCAAAATTTGGTGCTAAATAAGTATTCAAAATGCCAAACGTTAGTTAAATATAACGCTAAATAAATTAATTACTGTTCCTTTGTTCTTCATTCTTTGACACTTGCGCTTTTAAAGCTTGACGGGGAAAATACATACGAAATTTTCAATAACAAATAGATTTTATTAAAATATCCTTTAGGGTAACCTATGTTTATTTATATTATTTTTGTCTATCGATGTAATCATTGCATTTTTGCAATGTGTTCATTTTGGAATTTTTAGTGAAATCTATTTAGTATTAGAAATAGACGAAATAACATAATTGATATTGAAAAAATAGATCCATGGAAATGTGTCCGTGACTTCATTTAACAACGTATCAATAACATGCGTTTATTTGCAGATGTTTCATGTTCGACGAGTATGGAACAGAATCAAATAATAAGGAAATTCTAGAAAATTTTACCACAGCAAATAGTTTTATCTTTAAAACATTTTCTCTTATTGGAATCCAAACTAGTGAAATTTAAAAAACTTTATATTTAAATTTACGTTAAGAAATAATAATGTGGGTTCTATGGAGAAATTTTCAGAATCAATTAAATAATATTGTATTTTATGACATGTTAAGATTTTTACAAACGGGTGTTACTATTCTTAAATCGGTTAAAATTTAAATGAAGTACGTTAATAAATAAATGAAGTCTCTGATACATAATGACTTGCTACGCGAATCGTAGTTGTACAGTACGTGAATTTAAATAAGGCGGTAATGAGTTTTTTTTATCTTCAAAATTATTAAACATATGAATATTTGAACTAAAGATCTCTTTACATTCATGACAATTATTTAGTTTTAAATGCTGATTTATTGAAATTTTCATTCTTGGTAAAGTTTTTATTTAAAATAAGAGTCTTTTGTAAGTATACAGATACTTTCTTATCTATAGTCAAGTTAAGTTACTTGAGAATATTTAATAATTATAACTTAAGCCGATATTTTAACCAAATAAACAGAAATTTGAAATAAGAACTGTTAAAAGTTAGAATACTACATATTATCATTAGCTATTAACAGATTTTACTTCATTTCAATTCTTATCTATTGGTTAAAAAAATTGCTTAAATTATAACATTTTCTCAAGTTATTACTAACTTATTTCAATAGTGAGTTTAGTATTTAAGGTTAACCTTTTAGTTTTAAGTAAAAAAACTATTTTATTTTTTGAATCTTGCAATTTTAAAGCAATAACAGATATAGGATTGTATGCATTCCATTTTGTTGTAACTAACTAAAAAGCTAAAAGGGAACTAATAAGCTTGAAATAAATTGGGCGGTTGTGTGATCGCAATATACAAAGTATTCTAATGAAGTATTACGTATATGACTTCATTTACCGCCTTATTAAATGTACACGATAAATTAGCCATTATGACTTCAAGGTTATATTAGCTGACCACGGAGTCATACCTTATTCGAATGTTTAGTAGCAGGTGACGACTTCATAGTCGTTCTTGGCGATTTCGCCGAATCCGGCTCTGAAGTCTCAACTGGCCTCGAAATCGCAGACAGGTGGAAACCTTAAAACTTACGACCGCATTTATTTTCTTATATTATTGATTTACGTTTACATTTTGTATGGATTTATTGATTTATTGTATTGATTATTAAGTGTAGATTATGCGATGAGCGCGCGTTTTGATGTCATATCTCTATTTCAAGTGTGAACAAAACAATGTATTCAATATATCGTTAATTCCCTTGAGAATTGTTTTATTTTCATTCCTCTTAGTGATGCCTTATTAGATCGAAATTGATTGCCAAACCTAGTCCTTTTAATGTTACTTTCTGCTAACGTTATTGTAATTATTGCATCTCAATAGGATATGTTATTGCAACTTTCTGTCGCCAGATGGCAGCACTAGCATTTTATAAACGTCAAACATCGTTAACAGTGTGTGTTCAATAAACGTTTTCAATTTCAATTAACAGAGAAGTGAGAAAAGAGTGATATTAAATGCCTATGCACACCATACGAATTTAATATTTTTTTAATCGGAAAGAGTGTTTTATCCAGTAATACATCGTTGCTGCATATTTGGATGTAAGAAGAAAAAGAATAATATGTTTTCAGAAGACAAAATATTCGAAAAAGTTTGTTTTATTTACATGTGCTAGTGCTGCCATCTACGCTGAGCTTTGCGGGAGAATCACTATCTACATGAATTCCAACATTATTAGTGGAATGTCTTCTTCACTATCGGTGACAGAAGTTTGTGATTTTATCATCTATTAACAAAGACTTGCGCTATTGACTCGCACACAATTAAACTAAAATGAGCTGAATTAGAGCCCTGATCTGCTGCTTTATGTACTCAAATATTAAAAGAAAAACGAGCCATATCTAATAAGTCATTTTTATTTCACTAGAGATGTCCTTATACACAGAGCAAATAAATATTCGATTAAACCATAATTTTTGCATTCTCGTAATCCCGGCAACGCACAAAGAGGTCCGTATTTGCTGTAAAAATAATAATGACCAATTTAATAAAATTTTAAATCAATAATCGTGTAGAGAGGTTAAAGTTTTTATGGCAATTTTATCACCCGTATCATTTAAATCGATAAAAGAGACTCTTAAAGTGTATTACATTAGTAGAGATAGATGAAAATTTTGATATCCGTTACCTATAACAACGGGAATATATGTTACCCAACTACATTAGATCCACGTTTATAAGTTAAATTTATGAAAGATGCGAAAAATATATTTCTTGAATAGAATTATGCATAATCGACATCAAGGTCAGGTTATACAAATGTGTTAAATTTCTCCAATTCACTTTAAACTTCAAAAAAATACTGTCCCTGGCACTCTGAAATGGAACTCGAAGCCATGACTACGCAATCCGGGCGACTGATCTAACCTCTGAGCCACCCAGGCCCAAGCAGCCGAAAGAAATATTTTTTGTGAAGATTTGTTCTAATTATTTTATTTGATCAATTTTATAGTCACAATGCTATACTGAAAAATATACTTAATGAAAAATGCTTAAAAAATCCACTTTGTCCTTGGCACTCTGAGAATGGGACTCGAACCCATGCTTGAGTGGATTGCCGGAGCATTGATGTAATGCAAAATTAATCAAATATAATAATTAGTTTTGATGGTAGATTAAAATAAACTGCAAACAATTGACATATTCCGGTAACCGGACCTACAGCCGTGTGTACATGAGGTGTACTGTTTGACTAAAATCCCTTTGCCTGGGAAATTATAGTGTTGTACTTGTATCAGAGGTCTCTTGGTCATACTAGTCATTTGCTTCGAGTCGTCGGCTTCCACATCTCGCTTCAGCGCACCGCACATCAAGGCGGATCCTCTGAATACAGTTAGCAACAGTATCGTGTGTGTCCGTCCGTGCCAGTCGATATATAGCTTGTTTTTAATTCGTTATAATTTTTTACTGTTAAACAACTTTTACATAAATAATAATGCTATGTTAAGCCGACTAAAAATAATTTTTTTCTTTGTTGACTGTACCACTTTCATATACGTGTGACGTCATTTAACAACGATCGTCGACGGCTAACTCATAGCAAATAGCTCATCGATAATATGCATTACGCAATTGTGCACGTTAAGAAATTTTATTGAGATTTGTAGTTTTTGATAGTTACCGCTAAGGGTGCTGTACCGATTTCATATTAAAATTTTAACACGCTCAGCGTCGAAGCTGAACGTAAAAATTAAAAAAATTTCAAGAAGTCCTCAGAACTATAGATGAACTCAAATTGTTGCTAAATTCCTCTACTATAAAAGTGTAAAATAAATGGCTCTTTTAACAAGTTCAAACTAAACTTGAAAAGTGCTAAACATCTATTTGTTTCTATTTTAGTACCTTTAAAAAAATGTTTCTGTCTCATATTATTTTTTTGAAAATACACCAAAATAAATATCCAAGTGAAGTTAACGAACCAATTTAATTCAAACCATGTTATATCTATAAACTACAGCAGTGTTTTTCAAACTTCTTCAATACGCGACCACTTTACAGGCCTAAAAATTTTTACTCGAAAATTTTGACCCTTAGACTCGGGCCATAGAAAGACAAATAAAGTATATTAATGAAAATACTACATTTATAACTTTTTTACTTATGTAAAGAAAGTACATTCATATAAAAATGTAGTTTTGCTGTAGTGAACCATATAGAACCTTGACTCTTTCTTATGCCGGCGACTCGACTCCCTGAGTAAAACTCCAGACCCCTAGAGGTCGCAACCCCAGATTGAAAAACACTGAACTACAAAGCGGACGCCGAAAGAATGCTTTTCCGATATGTCACTTATAGTTGACGATATGACTTGATAATTGCGTTTATTAATCAACTAATAATTTATGAGCATTTGACAGAATTCAGGAAAGCAATCTCTTGGCGGCCGCAGATTAACTACATAATTACAAATAAAACTAACTTTAAAAACTGAAAGTGATTTATTTCAATGATTTAAACAACTACAATAAATAAATTACAATGTGAATACTTTTGTATACTGGTAACACAAAGCCAAATAACATCTACAAGTGTTGCCAACAAATTGAAGTCAATAAATAAAAAGAAAATGCTACAATTATATTCTTACTTCTAAATGGTAGTAAAATAAAAAGGGTAAGATCTACAATAATACTTATTAACTAAGTATCTATTTTTACAATTTTCTACTTAAACAGTAATGAAAAAAATAAATAAAAAGAAATAATGAGTTATTGTCGTTTCAATGTCAATTATTTAATTCGAAATAATTAAAATTATATAACTGCGTGTTTTAACTTGAAAAAATATTAACCAAGGTTTTGATATACAAAAGTATATCTATATCAAAAAAGTAATGTTTTTTCTTAAGTCTTACATGTTATAGACAAAAAACGGTATGTAAAATAACCGTCAATAATTTTCTGTTCAGTGTTAAATATAACCCCCGTCTAGGCTGTATAAATTGAATTCCTTTGCCTCCAATTTTCCATTCATTTATTTTTCATTATTTTTTATAACAGATGGCAATACCTATTCCAAATTGCTTAAAATGCCGAAATGCGACCTCAGTTATTTCTATACTTTTTTCATTTTTCATAAGTAAGTTTGGTAATTCATCATGGTGTTGTTGTACAGCAAAAAAACAGTGTTTTTTCCTGAATAGTTGTTAATGGTTTAATCCGATGTTACCTATGATGGCGTTGACAACATCCGTGGAAGAAGCGGTGCCTCCAACGTCAGGCGTCATTATACGATCGACGTTAATAGTCTTGTGTACGGCGCGTCTTAAAAGATCAGCGTGGAAGTGATGGCCGAGATGTTCCAGCATGTCTATGGACGCATTTATCATGGCTATGGGATTGGCGACGTTCTTGCCGGCGATCGCAGTGCCTGGCAATCAAATATGACCGTTATTGGCATTAATACATTTAAAGTGTTTGGTTGTAGTCCCACCATGACTTTAGAAAGGTGGGGACAAAAATATGCAATGCAGAGACCCTTGCTTATGTCACGGTTTTTGGCGGAAATCGTAAAGGATTTATTTTATGGCATTTTTGAGAAAATTCAAGGAATTGGCTACTTGACTTTCTTGATAAAAGTTTTTTAAAACTTTCATAAGATTTAGACACTACCATCATGTTTATTTATCTCCAAGTGTTGAGGAATAAAGGTACAACGAGCTGTGACGTCACATTTCAATAAACACGAGCACTGATTGCAAAAATGTTGACGTTTAATTTATTGAAATATGACATCACACGACCCTTCGCCCATAAATTTCCATTCCATCATATTACATGATTGATTGTTATCCATCAAGTAGCCAATTCTCCTTTTGTCCAATTTATTTCGGGTTTCATTTGAATTACTCACATAGGTTTAGGTGTTTTCTTATTACTATCTTGAAAAAAGCAAATTAAGTCCTTTGACGCTGCAATACCTGTGTTCCTGGTGCCGGGTTCGAATACCGCGTAATGATCTCCGTAATTTCTGCCGGACAGTAATCCCGCGCCGCCGAGCAGACCGCACACAACGTTCGACACTATCGACCCGTACAGGTTCGTCATCAACATCACGTCGAACTGGTGAGGCCTGATCGAATAGTAAATAAGCAGTAATTGTTTTCCTACGACTTCGCTTGCTTAAATTATCGTCAAAGCTGTCCATGTATGATATAGCTTTCCATAGGTAAAAGAGTTTTTAATACCAGTCTAGTAGTATCGGAGCCTATTCGATGCAAACAGACAATCAAATCTTTCCTCTTTAGAATATTAATATAGATTTATATTAGACAATTGCACAAGACCTACACTGCGTAAAGTTCTTTAATTTGTTTCAGTAGTTTAGTTGTGAAATAGCAACAGATACACAAAGCAGAGGTACTTTCGCATTTATAGTATTAGTATAGATAATGACCTCTCCGGCCGAAAGGCTCACAGACCAGTTTCAAGGTGTTGCCAAGGTTCGATTCTTGGTTGGTTCAATATAGAAAGTTCATTTTTCAATATTGTTTCAGGTGATAGTTTCAGATTTCCATAATACAGAGTCTGTAGCTAGTTAATTTGGAATCCAAGCAATGTGCCTTGTCTAATATGTATTATTTACTGAGAAAAAAATCCTTAAGGTTTGACAAAATGTAAAGAAATTTATTGCCCAAGCTATTTTAATATTATGTTACCTATCTTTACTAATATATCAAAGAAGTAACATTTATATCTTTGTTTATCGGTGGTAATCTTTCGAAATACTGATCTGATCGTGATCATTCTTTCACTTACAGGAGCTACATAACCACAAGTGACTATGGCTATAATTTACAAAGGCAAAATCGCGGCAATACAGTTAGTCTTAAATATTTAAAGTTACTCACTTCGCCACCAGCTGCATGCAACAGTTATCAATGATCATGTCATTGTGCTCAATATCTGGATATTCTTTAGCCAAGCGCTTTGAGGTTTCTAAGAACAAACCGTCCGATAATTTCATGATATTCGCCTTGTGTACTGTTGTCACCTGAAAAAGAAAGTATAATCACATTATTAATCTTAAGGTCACAGAACAAACCCTGCTATTTTCTTGCCATTTAAATTTGAGCATTAAATAGTATGTCATACATTATATTACATCAACTAAAGGAATTGGAAGCATGGAATGGAAAAATCTGCAGCAACTTAAAATATTCTACCTTCTTCCTGCCGTTTTTCCTGGCGAACTCAAATGCGAACCTGGCTACTCTCTCAGAGTTGCTTGCGGTCACAACCTTCATGGACTCAATCACTCCGTGCACACTCTCATGTTCCAACATAGCATATTCTCCTTCTGTGTTCTGTCTATTAAAAATAATACAATTCATGTTTTCCAATTCATAAAGATTTTGGTTCATTTTTAATCTCAATGATTTGTTATGTGGAGTCTATTTTTAGTTTTCTTTCATTTTAAAGAAATCCATATAATATAACAAACAAGTCATAAAAATTATAAAACACATGTAGTAAAAAAAACATAAGCTTTAAATTAATGTTCAAATAACAAATATAAAAATAATTTAGTTTAGTTCTTATAAAATTTAACAAGATTAATAAGCTTAATAAGACTTAACTTGTAATAAAACATTGACATATTTATGTAATACATACTATTTTGGTAAAGACATAAATATCATTGCTTCTGATAAAGATCTGGTAAATTTCTATCACTTGTTTTTATTGTCAGTCAAAAGTAACTGTCGATATATAAAATTTGAGATATAAAATTTCTATTTTCATTACTAATGGAGGAAAAAGTGCATGCTTTAGTGGCATTCAAATTCATATTATATTAGATACCTGATGATAACAACATCAATATCCTTGTGCCTTGTTTCAACACCTGGGAAAGATTTACAGTTCAGCACGTAAGCATACATGTCGAGTTCATTACGAAGTGCCACATTACGGGACGTAACATATGCTGCCTCGCTCTTGGTTTCAATGTTACCCTGAAAATCAAGGATACATTAACTCTATTGAAACAGTAATTTTTGTTGACAAAACAATACTAACAATATTTAATCTAATAAAATGTGGTGATATAAAATTCACTTGGTGTACAGACTCAACAAATTAAACCATCTATCCTTACCTTTAGTCCAACACCATTCCTTTTAATTGTAGTGATAGCATATAACACATCATCATCATTATCTACTGTGGGGTCAATATCTACAATTTCAAAGTCAACAGGAGCACCAATATATCTATAAGGGAAGCAAAAATGTTTCACAATAATTAATCAAATAAGAAACTTAGTTAACCATTCTGTACCTAGGCAGAGTGTTAGCATTCTGGTTGTATTTGTTTTATTTGTTCTATTATAAGTCAGGGCTGCAATGAGTTAATAAAGTGTAATTATAATAATAAATATAAGATAAGATTACATACACTGTTTAAATCCGCAATGAAAATCTTTTAATAAGAAAGTCTGAGAAATCACAAATGAAAATCTTTTATTAAGAAATGGTGTCACTTATTCAGCCAGACACAAGACGGGAAAAGATTATTCTGTACATACATTGACCCAACTTAAAATCGAAGCCAAGACCTCACAAATGACAAACTGCAAGTAAGCCAACTTGTCATAACTCACTACCCAGAATGAAATTGAAAGCACAAAATACTTACAATTATTAAATATTTATTTAATTTCAATGATCTGATGATAGCTAGATCATTTTAAGACCATCTCTTTATATTGAATCCCTTTTAACAAGTGTAATATTGTATGTAAACCTAGGGGCTACAAGCTCCAGATTGAGAAACAATGGCATAAATTTTGAAAATACACAACCCTACACATTTTTGTAAAGAAAACCGATCTAGTACATAAATGATTTCTGTATGTGCAAATTGATAATAATAATACCACCGACAACGAGATGAGATTGGAGTCAGTCCGAAAGATTGTACATATGAAGTATTTTAGGAAGGTTATTTATACTTACTTAAATATGTCTCTCACGTAACCCATACATTCTGGACCAATACCACCGCCAGGTAGCATTGTGACTGCGTGCCTTCCACCATACTGGGCTTTGGGAATTAACTTCTGTTTCCTGATAACTGGTGTTTTATGCTGAACGTCGAAGTCGGAGAGCTGAGCAGGGGCTGCTGCAGCCGCTGAACTGGAATATGCAGCCTTGATCTCCGGAAGAACTCTTAACTTAGAGAATAATCTCACTGCCATCCTGATTTATCTACACAAGGCCGAGAAAATCCTAAATTTTCAGATGACAGCTGATGTTAAATAATCACAGGAAAAGGAAGACAGAACGAGAAAACCCTTTATGAGAGTTTTCACCGAAAGATGGCTCTGTTACGTCAAACCTTAGAAAAGATGGCGCTAGTTCTGCTAATTGAAAATATAAAGCAGTCGTGCATGTAAACGTCAAATCTTAATTTGGTAGATATTTAATCTTTGTAATGTTTCACCATTTTGCTTTATTGTATAAATTTCGATTTCTCCTTAGCGTTTTTTATTTTTATATAAAAATAAACAAATTTATTCGTAATTTGATACTATTAAAAATAAGTTGCGTGTTGTGGTCATTCTGTTAGATATTAATCTAATAAAGTTTATTTCTTAGACCAATAAGACAAAGTATTAGGTAATTAGCTTTAGTAAAGTAACGTCAAATAAATGCAACATTTTTACCGGCATATGACGTCACATGTAAACAGGAAGCTCTCATGTTAAACAATGTTATTAGAGATATGCAAAATTGTTATAAATAATTTTTAACATTTTTATAAATAAAACCAGAGAAGATACAAATACAAAACACAAAATTAAACTTCAAATTTATCTTCTGTAATACTATTTGTTTACTACGTAAATAAACTACTAAGTAACTTCGTAACTTTTGTTCTATTTTAGATGAAAATAATTGTTAAAGTTTAAATAGCCAAAATCACACAAAAAGCGCTCTATGTAATATCAAGTAAATATATTAAAGCGACATAACCCATTTATCAACTATTTATTTACGTAGTTAACATAAATAAATAGTTGATAAATATTCCCATGAAATATATTGACAATATGTTTACAATGTAACAAACAACCATTTAAAATAATATTTTTCAGGAAGTATCAAATATCCTATGTGCTTTACAATAATCATTTTAAGTAATGGCAACATTGAAGAAAAATATTTTAAGAGGTACCGTGTATGGAAGCTTTACTGTCATCAGCGGAGTTCTCCGGTGCAAGTGGCTGAAGAACGGGCGTCCATTTTGCTTCGCCATATTGAATTTGGTCGGACATCTTTGGACGCCATGTTTAGTCGGACATATTTTATAAACATTTTCGCGTAAATTTCAAATATTTTTGAGCCTAAATAGCGAACTTTTTTTCACTGAAAACTGTGGCATTCATTGCGGATATAATTGGGTGGAAAAATTCTGTGCCTACGCAGCAGTCCATATTCGCCTCCTGGGGGCCGTGCAGCTTTTGTTACAAGTTAAATAGAGGTAAAATATTTTCACAAAACACAGTGCTTTTTGACATATCGTAACAAGTGTTTTATATTTTCTATGAAATTACTATTAGGAATTACTTCAAAGATACTATTAAATGAAGGTCGTAGAATGTTCTATTTGTCTTTACTACGTTTGGCGTGGCCGCGTTATAATTATCACAGAATTATTTTATGTGGTCCCGGCCGGTGTCGTTGTACTGCTCCCGCTGCGGCCATCACTTGTTTATATTCATTATTTAAAACAACATATCTCATGAAAACACCTTATTTTCTTTGTATGCAGATAAAGACCACTTATTCTTTAATTTGCGTCGCATGTAACGTGATATCATTTGGTATAAATTTATTCTATATCACGTCATTATAGATATGAGTATCATATATTCATTTGTCACTAAACACGCAAAACAAGTTTTCCTGGTGGCCTAACAATGCTCTTAAAATAATATGTATAAACAAAAACAAGTACAAAGTTAATTAATTACCTACTAACTACTCATTAGTGGCTGCAAAACAATGAAACTGATAATTTACTTTTTTCTTGATTGAAGAGGCATAGGAATCTATTAACATACATATTTGCACTAATTTGCACTAATCTCTTATTATGAATATGAAATAATAGAAATATTATCTTAACTATTTATCTAAATAAATAATAAACAACTTTCAAATGATAAAACATGTAATTTATAGCTCTTTATCAGTGCTAGTGATTGATAGCTATAATAATAATAAATGAAGAGATATACACATCTAAACATTATTGTTTAGATGTGTATATCTCTTCTTGTTAAGGAAGAGAAACAGGATGTATGACACCAGAAAATCTTGAGATTATAATATGTCTCATTAGATAATCAGACAGTTGCACAAACATCATTTAAAATTAGTTTAGTATCATTAGATTAAAGGGACATTACCCATACAAATATGTCATTTATTAGATCTTAATAGTGTCATTAAACCTTAATGAATGTTTGTGCAACCTACTGTATGACTGACATATAAGCAGAACTGCATCATCTATAATTGTAATACCTCACTGCATGTTTGCCACAAAACTACAGGAGAATTGAAGATTTTACTACTCAATTGAAACTTAATTAAAATTTTAATTATGTATTATGTAATGTTGTCATAATAGTTCTCTGTTACAAACTAACATGTATGTATTTTATACTAGAGATTCCCAAAGTGGTTGATATTCACCTTGGGGTTGCAATATGATTTCTAAGGGGTCAACATAAATGAAAATAGAATTTGTGGGTTTAACAACATCTAAAAGTCTACCCCCTACCATGTCATTAACACAAGTTTTTATTTGAAAGTTTAAAGTTTCTATCTACAGTAGCAGATAGAAGTTGTATCATGTGTACCCACTTGTTATAATAATATGTAAAATAATAAAATAATTATTAATCACACTTCAGATTCACTTAATTTTGATGAGAAGCTTTTAGGGCAGGTAATTTGACTGTAGGGGTGTGGTGTTGATTCATTTGAGAAAAATTGTCTCTTATCCAAAATAGTTTAGGAATCTCTGTCTCAAAGTGATAGAACTGTCTCAATCAAAAGAATTCAAACTAAATTATGATGTCTTTTTTAAACTATTTATTTATTGTCAGTGTTATAATAAAGTAGGAAATCTCTCAGTTAACAAAAACTATTGTTATATATATTGTATTTGAGTATCTAATACATAAATTAAAATATTTTTATAAGCCTGATGAGTTGTGCTTATTTTGGCAAAATAAGTAGAAAATTATTTCATCACCAGTGTTTTGAGATAATTATCATTTAAAGTTGTACAAACTAAGGGTATAATATCTAAATAATGCCGAATTGTAATACAATTAAAAATGGTTAAAATTAGCTGGAAATAACTACACCAATATTACCTGTTTTAATTTAAGTAAAATAAATACCTCAGTGAATAAATATTCAATCATATACTGAATATTTTAGGTTCACAACCACTTCAATTAAACAGGAAATGTAAGCGTAGCGGCCGTCCATACAATATATAGTGTTTTTAAAATTAATGATATTGCTTCAGGTCGGAGGAGCGGTTCAACATGATGAACCAAGAAATAATGTGTGAAGTAGAAATAGGCACCCATGGGTCTATGGTCGAGATAGATGGAGAGGACCAAGTCGGCGTCAAGGTAATTTATTGATATGAATAAACAAAATTATACCAGGTGTATCTTATATGTAATTTGTCTACACTAATATAGTTCAGTTGCCAAATAGAGAAATTTCGTATAATGGCATTACATATCTCTTTCACTCATACACACAGTGCATCTAACCAATTTTGTCATTGTAAAGTGAACCTTAAGTATTTACAATATCTATCAATAGACAATAAAGGAAAATTCTCTCTGACAACTGGACTCTTTATTTTTCAATGACTGAAGCTTACACTTCGTTGATAATAAGGCCTTATATTATTAATAACGAAAGACGTTTTTACCTATTTTCGACTACCTATCTCTATGTAGCAAAAACTTAAAAAATAAATTTTCAATATCCTTTGTGGGGTAAATAGGGACTATAAAGATTCCCTCCCTCGAAAAAACATAGTCGAACTACTAACCCCCTAAGTCATCTCACATAATAGATGCATAATAGCACACAAGTAGTTGTACATCTGTACATTGACAAAATAGGCATAGAAAAAATTAAACCTTATGGCGAGAGAACAAGCTTCTCGAAAGTAATACAAGGTAAACTAGCCATAACCATGCAGAACCAATGTTGATTAGTTGATGATAAAGACTGCAGCCAGGACCAATAGCTTAAGATGCCCTCTATAGCAGCACAGAGAAACTTGACATACTAAATATTTTGCCCCAATTGTAACAATTTGTGGTACATATAATGAATTCAATAGTAATGATAGAACCGTTACCCTCCAATCTGCATTGGGCCAGCGTGGAGGGTCATGGCCCATCCTCCTTAACCATCCATAAGGAAGGCCTGAGCCCCTGCAGTGGGGACGTAAAAGGGCTGGTGTGGATAGAACTGTTGATATTCTCGCAATATAAAAAAAATTATAATAATAATATAACAATTAATATTTAAATTTACTATATACTGAATTATATAAGCTATATTAATATAAGTGTCAGAGACAGTGGATTTTTAAGTGTTTTTCATTAAGAATATATTTAAGTATAGCATTGTGAGTGCAAAATATAATACAATTTGTGATTGTTTATTTAGGTATTATTTATATGTTAAAATTTTATTTTGATATTATTCAGTATGAAGAGATAGAAACTGGTCAATATGAAGAGTACATCACTGATGACCAGTATGAGGAAGTGGAAGAGCAAGTCATCGGAATGCAGCATCTCGAAGAAGGTTGGTTGTTTACAATTATTATAATATATCAATAATTCAAAATTACAATTATTGATTTATTTTGGGTATGTTCCGATATACACTGCGAGCACTGCGCAGTGGTCTTACTGCTGAAAAATCCGTTCCGTTATGGACTGCCAGTACACTGCTACAGTACCCTAGGGAAATTTATGACGTCATAAATTGCCGCCATATTTGTACTGTGAGCACTGGAGATTTCGAGGTAAGGTGCTCGCAGTGCTTTTGATCATGTGATCAGTCAAAACAGAATCAGAAAATGATAAGTTTCTAAATAAACAAAAAAAAATACTTACATTTATTATAAGATGGATTTAATTGATAAATAATTTTTTTATACACAATTTTATAATATTTTCTTTTGAAAAGAGGGAATCTTTATTTATATTCACCTTGCATAACAAATTTGAAAATGGCGCCAAAAAATAGGATTAACAGTATACTAGACTGCGTTCTGTTTTAAAAAGTCACCAGTATAACTAGCTATAAAGGAACGGGCTTCCAGTATACTAAATTGGCGTCATACTGTTCAGTGGTCGCAGTGTATATCGGAACATACCCTTTGTACTTCAACTTTTAAAAACCTCTTTATTGTTCTTTGACAGTAAACTCAATGTCAATTATCTGTCATTTCACTGATACTTTTATTTCAGTAAAAATAAACATAAGACATAATTTTGTCTATTGTTTTATAACAAAAAATATGTTTGTCGGCACCGCTGACAGATTATAAAATTTCAGTTGGCAGTGAGGAGGTAATATTACCTGGTATATCAGGAGAGGAAGTGTTACCGGGCAACGTTGATAACCCCTATGATCCAGTTTACCCCACTCCACCGTCCACAAGCAGGTGAGTAAATGACTGATCTGACTATGATCGGAAACGTAAACAAGCAAAAAATATACTATGTAATATTTAACTCAATAGTGTAGGAGAGGTGATAGAGGAGACATTAATGAAAGTCTGGATATTTTTTTCAATTACAACTTATAAGACATGCTGAGGCGTCGTGTTCCACGATTTTACGTTCTGAAAAGTTTATTATTTTATATTGACAACAAGTTTCTCGTCTTTATTTACTATTACGAAGCACTTGATGCATGTTACCATTTTAAGTAGAGCGATTCCGTTAGAATTCGAATTTACGAATTCACTTAACCTTGAATCAGTTTTAACGTTTTGTGGCATAAGTGAAATTAGTTTCGAAATGACAAGGAAAGAATATCTGAGACACATATCAATCAATCTTGTTTTGTATTTTTATACAATAAATGGAATCAATAGAATTTCTAACTTCTTAACTAATATAAGTTTCGCTTCCGAAGTGAATTCGGATACTTGTGTATATTTGGATTGGAATATTTACGGAATCGCTCTGCAGATGTTATGCATTAAGTTATGTATCCCCTTAGTATTTCCACATAAGGAACTCTATAAAATAAAAGATAAGCAAAAAAACTTACATTTTCTAAGGTTTATAATTAATTAATGGAAAAATATGGCGCAGAAACACCAAGCTCTCGGCCCTCTTCGGCTAGTCTGTTTTTATATTTCTTTATATAGATTGCTTGCTTCTGAAATAATTCGCTATTAACACGCTATACTATCAGAACCACTGAGGAACACTCTGGCTAAATAAAAACAATAAAACGGTAAACCGAATATTTCTGTCGAATGTCTGGTTCGGTTAAGCTTAAACCGAATATTATTCGGTATTCGGTGATTCCATGAAACCACTATTCGGTGCTTCTCTAATAAATATTATTGTTATTAACTAAAAAAATAATTATCTTGATAATTACAAACCTCTCTGCACTCGAGCGATCCGTCTTGGCTTACTGTTACAAGGGCCTTTTTCACTCTTACATACATACATTAAAATACATCCTTAGCTTTTGTATTTAGCTTCTCGTTTGGGCCTCTCATTACTTTCGCTCTACTTACTCTATCATATCTTTATTTTTTTTGTCCAGCTCGCTCCATTTTATGGGTTTTTTACTTTTTTACTATATAGCTTTTTATTTCAGAAGGGGTCGCGGGCGGCCTCGCGCTTCAGGCAACAACAATGCTAACAATATTCACCACTTGATGCCCATAGGTGAGTCTCTTGAAGGTAAAGTACATCGTCTACAATATCTCTTATTATTTATTGGTTTGAGAATCTATGCTTGACTACTTTTGTCGCTTTCAGTCACCTTTTAAATGAAATCTAGATCGGTTGGTTAATATAGTTAATTTAAACAATGATTTAGATACCACTCTTCCATCGTGCAATCATAATTAGCTCATTAATTCCCACTGATGGGGGCACAGGACTGCCCAAGGGATTGAATTGCATCAAATTTTGACACACAACATAACACTTAATTTCTGTATGTCCCTGTAAGTTTCTTGCTTGTTTTATACTGTGTATTGACAAAATATATTCTTATTATTCTCATTAAATAGACATAATGGGTCACAGCCCACCAAAAGGGTCTAGGTAGTTTAGTAGATGTTAACTAATGCAGATGGTACTGGAACTAACGACTTAACATACCTTCGGAAGCACAGAGGAGCTCGAGACAATAAGTTTTGGTCACCCATCCTATGACCATCCCTTGAGAAAGTTGCTTAGCATCGTAGACCAAACGCGCTAACCACTGCGTCATCTCGTTCATATTAGTTGTGAAATAGAGATATGCTAGTTTTGTTTTGTTTCATTATTATAGGTATCATGATTTCGTCATACAAATTTCTATATGTGGACTTTGTTTGTTACAGGCGAAGTGCCTATGGGATTGATGGAAACATCCGCCGGCGGTAGGGGTACGCGTCGATGGGAACAGAAACAGGTTCAGATCAAAACCATGGAAGGGGAATTCAGTGTCACCATGTGGGCCACTGGAGACGATGATGGTGAGCGAATGTACACCTTATACACAATGATTGTTTTAGCTTTACGTGTATTTGTCGAAGGTGGGATGCGTTTTCTTTGACTGTTTGTTTTTAAACTACCTCCTGCATACGAATTAATAGCATATTTATATCTAAAAAACTTATGTTATTGAGAATAATCATTGAGATTTTGTACTTATCTCAATTCAGAAACCGGCGGATAGTCGTATTCATATTGAAATTCATATGTATGGTCTATTTTAAGATCAATACGTACTGCTAGGTTCTGTCGCTAGATTGCAGCACTAGCACATGTAGTAAACAGTTTTTTTTTTTAATATAAATATCAATAAGAGAATAGTAAGCAAAGAGAATTTAATAATTATTGAATTTATGAAGAGTAATCTTATCAAATAATACATCATCTGGATGTAAAAGCGGCCAAGTGTGAATCACGAAGTTCCATATCGAAAACAAGTTAAAAATTCATTTGTTGTATAGGAGCCACTTTAAATATTAATCTTATTCTGGATTTTTGGCATTCGTTGTTGAAGAAATACATAATCTGAGATACACCCTAGTGACAGGCAGACAGATAGCGAAGTGTTAGTAATGGAGTTACCGTTTTACCCTTTGGGTACAGAACCCTAAAAAGGAAAGGAATCATTCATTACCAAAAGAGTGCCAGTGCTGCCATCTACGCCGAGCTTTGCGTAATTCCTAAATGGAGAGAGACAGTAACTATCTTTCCCATTTCTGTTGTGTATCAACTCCCCTCAAATTATTCAAAACGAAAATAGATCGCGTTAATGTGGCGAGCTTTGTCATATTTTTAGATTTTATTTTGGACCTTATTTATGAGCGGATAATGTCTCAAATGGGATCTTCGTCATTGATTATCGAGTTTTATTGTCCTGTTTAAGTTCTGCTGATTTAAAAAGTGGCTGTAATTAATTTTGTTCTTCCCAGGATTAGATCTATCAGATCCCAAACAATTGGCAGAGTTTGCCAGACCTGGACACAAGATAAGACTAAAGAAACCTTCACCAGAGTCTTCAGACAGAACTATAGGTGAGATTGAGTGATTGATTATAATCACATTTAATCAATAGGGTTTAATCAATAGGGTTATTGATAAAAATATGATGATATAGATATGGATACTAACAGCTGACATATGACATATTAGCATGACGTCACACGCTTTCATATGACACGCAGGTCAAATATAGTTATTTTAATTGCTGTAATCTGAACCTAATTATCAAAATAATTAAATCAGGAGTCAGATCAATACATATAAAATGTAAGGATATTTTATATAGATCTGATTGATTGATATATTGATCTTGTAATATAATTACCATATTTTTTATTAATATGACACGCAAGTCAAAAATAGTTATTTTATTTGCTGTAATCTGAACCTAATTATCAAAATTAATAATTCAGGAGTCAGATCAATATATATAAAATAAGGATATTTTATATTGATCTGATTGACTGATATATTGATCTTGTAATATAATTATCATATTTTTTTATTAATTGTTAACTGTTGTGAATTCACGATACTGTATTGGTCCTATTCTGTGAGGCTGCTGGTTTTTTACTAGTCGTGCGAATTAAAATGATACCTGAACCCCTATTTTATTTCTACGAAAACGAAATTTTGGACAATATCTGATATTTGCTGATATATATCATACATATGAAAAGTGACTATTTATAAACTGTTAGTGGCTTTATTTAATATTTAAAATCAAAAGTGTAAAATGAAGGTTAAGTTTGACTTACTTGTTACAGTAATGAATAACTGGTATAGGAGAATACCTTATTACGTGAATAAAAACACACAGATCACACTTCGAATTCATATTATGGGATTTTTAGTAAGTAAGATAGCTACTTTGAGCCAATATTACCAGTGTCACATAGGGTTAGTTAATTTTCTAGCTGATACTATTGAGTTTCAAACTAACAATAAATATTATAAATTATCAAATGATATATCGCTCACCGAATAGTACAGTGGCACAACTCAAAAACCATAATTTTGAGAAACGCTCTCCGAAGTTATGAAAGTCTAATATATTTATAATTATGAAAATCATTTTTTTAGCATGACAGTTAATCTGTATTATATTATTACTGTTAAGTTTTTTATTTTTTCTTTAAATTATCTATGGGATGCCACCACAATAATGTGGCGTTATCTCGAACTAATGGTTTTTGAGTTGTGCCACTGTACTATTCAGTGAGCGATATATCAACGTATTATATATAATATGATATATATCAGTTGATATTTATCTGGGAACGCTGCGCGCTGAACTAAATAAACGCTTTTTTAGATAATTTAGGATCCAGCAGGGGTAAGACCTGACACTGTCTCTGATGCAAAAAATCTTAAATTTTAAGAACGATTCGAAATTATTCCGAATTTTTGTTCGCATATAAATAGAATAAGCCGTTAGGTGTCATGTTAATTCGTACGAGCTATACAACTTACCTGTTATATTTGTTTGTTTTGTCGGCAGCGTGCCCACACAAGGGTTGCACTAAAATGTTCCGCGACAATTCAGCGATGAGGAAACATCTCCACACGCACGGACCACGGGTACACGTTTGTGCCGAATGTGGTGAGTACGAATGGATGATGAAGACTTTTTTTTAAGTACTACATCATAGCGATTTTGTTTAATTTTATACCTTGACATGTCTTGGTGGATTAATGACTGAGTTGGTAATCATCACCATCAGCCCTATTATGTCTCCACTGCGGTGGCTCAGGCCTTGGTTGACAACAACGATTGCGGACCGCAGCGTTTGTTCATTCAAGTTTGTAAAACTGCTGTCAAATTCACTATCATTATTCTTTATTAATCGTTCGTTTTGTACTCGTTCGTCGTTACATAGTACCTGTCAAAGTAGAACAATGAAACTATATATATATATATATATATCGCTACAACATTGCTAAGATGTCGTATGTTATGACTAGAGTCATGGTTAGAGAGTTCGGCGGTGGCAACCCAGGAACCAGGAGTATACCATGTCAATGTTCAATATAATATTTATATTTATTTTGCAATTTTTGTTATTTTTTTTATGTTTGGTACCATTGCTGCACTTCTACTAACCATTGTGATCATAACTAAAAGTGATAACTATGCCATCTACAGCCTTCTAGTCCACATTAAACGCATTGCAACTTATCACATCCTTTTTTTATACTAATTAGGAAAATTTTAATAAGCTCCTTGGTTACAATAATACATTGTCTCACGAAAATCAATAAAATTTCAATAAACATGTAAGCACTCGAAACAAAGACGTTGACGTTTACTTTATTGAAATGTGACGTCACACGATGCTCCATCATGGCCGCTCGCGTTTCGGTTCTTTCAATCTACAGATTATAAATTGCATTTTAATTTTGCAAAAATAAAATATACTTACAATTTTAAAACTAATACTACATATATTTTATAAGTTTATTGTATAACTCATCAAAGTTAGTCTGTTGGCTTCTCGTGCATCCACACTTTTGTTTCTGCGTCAGCGCGAGTGCGACAGTTATACGCGAATATTATTATATGCGTGTATTTAATTTACAGGGTTTTAGTGTCCCTTCTTTTTTTATTTTAATAGTCTAATCTAAATCATGATATCCCATACCTAAGGCTGATAGCATATCTTATAGCGCCGAATTTGTTTTATACACCTCTTAGAATTTAATGCGACGTAATAGCATAGATTTTCTTTCAAATAGAACCTACTTCAAAAGGTAATTAAGGTTTTATTTCATGATTCTCAGCTTTATGCTATGATAGAGTTGAGTTCCACATAGAGTTTGAAACTGTGGGCTAAGATGACAAGTTTTTGTTTGTTTGTCCGACAAATAGATGATATTAATGATATTCATCCATCATCCCTTTTACGTCTTCACTGCAGGAGCTCAGGCCTTGCTTATGAATGGTTAAGGAGGATGGACCATGACCCTCCACGCTGGCCCAATGCCGATTGGAGGGTATTAACGACTGCAAATGCAGCCGGGACCAACGGCTTAACGTGCCTTCCGAAGCACGGAGTAGCTCGAGAAACTAATTTTTTGGTCACCCATCCCGTGACCGACCTTTGCGAAAGTTGCTTAACGACTACGATCGTGGGCCGCGGCGCTTATCCACTACGCCACCGAGCTACTCAATTAATGATATTGAAGAATATTAAATTCTTTTTTTTTTTTTTTTGCGTAAAATAAAATTCTTATTTTTTATCCAGTCGCTTTACGTGTTGCTTTACGATACACAGTATAGACAAGCTTTGATCAGGATTCCTAATGAGTATATCTAAAAAGCTTATTTTATTATCTGCCACAAATTCCATAGTAATTTGGATCTTAGGGTTTATAGAATTAAGATTGTTTAAGAAAGCAGAAATTTTATCCATTGGTATTACTATTTTACCAAGATGTCATTGTCATCTACTTTATAAATCAATAAATATGAGAGGCTTGTGTGTCAATAAATCTCGAGTATCTAGTAAGCGCACTTAAGATATTTCAATATTTCTTAATCTACCGTTCCACTATTTATATGCTATGTAACACAATTTATTGGAATTATGTAACGTTTAAAGTCGCTTTCGCTTTTGGAACGAATGACGATTTGAATGATCATGAGACAAAAAGTTAGCTAAGTACTTCGACTTCTTTAACATTTCTTAATAGCTTCCAAATATATTTGGTTCCATATCTTTCAAAAAACGTCTAAATTGAAATTTCTACCACTTGTCAAATAGTTGTAGCGTGAAGTTCGTGAACATCTTTCAAATAACAAATTGAAAGGGTTTGCAATAGATTTTAAAATTAGACAATTTAGCCCTTGTTTTAATAGAATAGCGTAGCTGGGAAATGTGTCGCGTCAAACACTAATATTGTTAATGAATGTTTAGGCAAAGCGTTTGTGGAGAGTTCCAAGTTAAAACGTCATCAACTCGTCCATACTGGGGAGAAACCGTTCCAGTGCACCTTCGAAGGGTGCGGTAAGAGATTCTCGTTGGATTTCAATCTGAGGTGAGTTAGTTATTATACTAGATTTTTCGATTAATATCCAATGAAAATGTTCTTATGAGTGAAAAAGAAAAATACTGGACACTTAGAAATTCTATCACCTGCGGAAGCTACATCATATGTAGGTGACATAGTCAATAATTTACATGGATGTAGTCGCGAAAAATGAACTAGAACATTAATATACAGGCATATTTGTGTTTCCGAAATATTCAGCTCTGGAAATATTCAAACACTGAAATGTCTAATTCCCGAAACATTCTATCTACTATCACGATGGATTTGTTGAATACACAAAGGCAACATACCACCAGTGCCATCTGTTGACATCTTTTTGAAATCAGCAGTCTTCTTCTTTTTTAATTCATGGCCTATTTGTATTTACACAATTCCGCCAATGTCACGTTTGTGGTCTTTACACATAAAGAAACAATAATAATATATGTCAATTTTGAATTTTGGGGAAATAGAAAAAAAACAATAAAAAAACTGAGCTATCTGATTACATTGTTAAAGATAATACAAATAGAATGTATATAGAAAAAAAAAATCTTTATAAATTAAGATTACTTGGAATTTAGATAAAATTTTGAATGGGTTCTCCATACTCAAAATACATTTTATATTTGTTGGATGTGAAACTTTTGATGGGAGCAAATCATAGAGGGAAATGGATAAATTTGGACCATTAAATAAAATATGATCCGTAGTTCCTTCCTCAATGCCACAATCGAAGAGGGGGTTGTCTTTAATTTAAAATTTGGCAAGTCAAACTGGGGAACACACATGTCCAATTCTCAGACGACAAATAATTGAAATAGCTGTTTTACTTAAAAACTTCTCCTTAAAGAACCAGGGAGTACTGGGGATACTTCTCTGAATGTCAAAATAATACTTTCCCACTCTATTTCTAATATTTTCCCAGTCAACATTCCACGTATTTCAAATGTATAATAAAATATAAAATAAATTAGAAGTTCCCATTCACTGACTGGGCTAGTCTTCCTACTGCATGACTGCTTTACCCAGTTGGCTGCGACATGTGTTTATGCATATATAAATTGTTTATAGAACACACGTCCGCATCCACACCGGTGATCGGCCGTACGTCTGTCCGTTCGACGGCTGCAACAAGAAGTTCGCGCAGAGCACCAATCTCAAGTCGCATATACTAACACACGCCAAAGCAAAGTGAGTTGATTTAGATCTTTATAATATATTTTTGGTAATATTTATATGGGACCAATGCAGGCTCAACAACTGTATGATAAAAAAACTGATTATTAAATTTGGTTTATCATGAAAAAAGTTGTGTGTAACATAAAAAAATATATAAGTGTCGAATTCAGAATCTCCGTCTAATCATCTGTTAGAAATATGGCTAATATATTTTTATTGACATTTTCTTAAATCTTCTATATTGGAGCTTTTGCAATGATTAGATTTCCTGGGACATGAACATAATTAATATTAGTTAAATAAAGTAGAAATGTACTTTAGATTTAAAAATTTAATTAACCATGAACCGGTTACTGATAAAGTTTCAGATAGTTATCTGATAGTTAACGCTATCTACTGGATAAAGGTTGCTGTTAACTTTTTTCTGTTTCACCATCAAACTGCTAGATAATTTATCTGGCAGATAAGTTATCGGCCACTTATTAGTTGACGGAACGGCAACGTCGCTTTTTTGCGTTTCAATACTACGACCCAAATTATCGTCAATCAAAAATCATTTTTAAAACTTAATTAATATTATTTTTTGTGTTCAATATTATTTAAGTAAACTTTTTATACTTATACTTTACATATTTTGAATTATAATTTTATGATTCTAGAATGAAATAATACGATATTCGTATACTTAGCTACGTGTTTACAGAAACGAAACGCAACTATCATTTGTTTTGCTTTGTTGATATTTTGTGCTTAAGACGCTTTTCAGTTTTTAAACTTTTCTTTGTGTATTATTTTCGTATTTGTTAATTAATAATGGAAAAACAAAAACGTGAAAGAAGTGTGAATTTTAATCAAGAAGAAACAAACGGAGCTTCTTTACTTACTAGTTAACGGAGATTTTTATAAATAGCCCGTTGTAGTTTTTATATCACTTTCTATTAACGATAGAATATAAATAACAGCCCGCTTGGTAAGCCGAAATCGATTTCTAAAATCTTGATCGTCAAGTGATTCTCAATAATTAGGTCTAGGGTTAATTACTCGATTCCTACGGGGTCGCGTAATACGTTCGAAATATTCATCTAATTCGTCTTCTAAAAACTCAAATAAATCCATTTTAGAATATTTGTGACACTTGTGACTGCAATCGACGCAAAGCACACAATAATGGTCTAAAACTAAAACTATTTTCGTTCCCGTCAATTGAAACTTTTTTTTATCTATCAGATAACGTCTTTATCAGCCACTTGAATCGGCTGATAACATATCTAATACTTTATCTGCCAGATATTTTTAACCGGTTACTGATAAAGTTTCAGATAGTTATCTGATAGTTAACGCTATCTACCGGATAAAGGTTGCTGTTAACTTTTTTCTGTTTCACCATCAAACTGCTAGATAATTTATCTGGCAGATAAGTTATCGGCCACTTATTAGTTGACGGAACGGCAACGTCGCTTTTTTGCGTTTCAATACTACGACCCAAATTATCGTCAATCAAAAATCATTTTTAAAACTTAATTAATATATTTTTTTTATGTTCAATATTATTTAAGTAAACTTTTTTCACATATTTTGAATTATAATTTTATGATTCTAGAATGAAAATAATACGATATTCGTATACTTAGCTACGTGTTTACAGAAACGAAACGCAACTGGCATATGTTTTGCTTTGTTGATATTTTGTGCTTAAAATCTTTCATTCATTTCATTTTCATATTTCATGTAAAATTAATTTATTTACTTGACATTGGCAGAATTGTGCGAAATGCGCAGATAAGCCATTAATTGAAAAAAAAGAAGAAGAAGACGCTTTTCATTTTTTAAACCTTTTCTTTGTGTATTCTTTTCGTATTAGTTAATTAATAATGGAAAAACAAAAACGTGAAAGAAGTGTGAATTTTAATCAAGAAGAAACGGAGCTTCTTTATTTTTTACTTAGTAGCCCGTTGTAGTTTTTATATCACTTACTATTAACGATAGAATATAAACAACAGCCCGTTTGGTAAGCCGAAATCGATTCCTAAAAATCTTGATCGTCAAGTGATTCTAAATAATTAGGTCTAGGGTTAATTACTCGATTTCTACGGGGTCGCGTAATATGTTCGAAATATTCATCTAATTCGTCTTCTAAAAACTCAAATAAATCCATTTTAGAATATTTGTGACACTCGTGACTGCAATCGACGCAAAGCACACAATAATGGTCTAAAACTAAAACTATTTTCGTTCCCGCTACTTGAAACTTTTTTTTATCTATCAGATAACGTCTATATCAGCCACTTGAATCGGCTGATAACATATCTAACACTTTATCTGCCAGATATTTTTATCCGAGACCTGTGAAACCAAAAGTTATAGTTTATCTGGCAGATAAGTTCCTGATAGACTATCAGGGACTTTATCAGCAACCGGTGCTTGTTTGTCAACTTGTTTCTATTCTAAATAAATAAAGTTCATAATTATTATAATAATGAATAAACGTCAAGTGGACCCACTGTATTCAACATAGGTGCACACTGTTTCTGACAATACAGAATTGAAGTTGAATCTATTGTGTGAATTCAATATCGACCCAATGGAAACGGAAACCAATGTCACGAAGTCACTCTTCTGACTCCTTATAGAGTAGGTAGAGAGAATTGAGCGTTATAAAGCATGGTCTACATACACTTATTTAGCATTTTTGATTCTTAATTTCTATAAATGTTATAAAATACTTTTACAGATCTAGAAATTCACTATCACGTAATGGTGGCAACAATTACGAATCGGCACGGACCACACCACAGTTTGTCCAGCTAGAAATGTCACCGGACGATTCCAATCCGCAGCTCATCTTTTACACGCACGAATGAAGCAAAACAGACAGCACGATAGACATTAAGGATTCTGTACAGTGCATTTGAAGAGTTTGGACGGTGTTATTGAAGACGTTAAATGGTGTTTTAAAAGTTAGTGAAGTGTCAATACGGACTTTTAAAAGTGATAAATTAGTTTTTGAACGCCAATTGTTAATAGTATAAAGAAGTGTTGTGTTTAAAGAAAAATGACAATTTCGAGTGTTCTAAAATGTTTCGGGTTATGTATAGCATAATAGGGGTTTTCCTACGAGGAAGACCATTAATGTAAATTAGATGTGTAGATAATATAAATGCAGTCGAAAGTGTCTTAGCTATTGTGTAGTTTGGATGAAGTGATAAAAGGTTCGAGAAGAATATGCTAGTCTCAAGTTTTGAGATGTAATGGTGAAAACTGACTGAGCTGATTATATAATGATTAGGCTATGCAGCGAACAATATTTGTTGTAGCAAACTATATTATTAGTTTTTTGTTTGGATTTTGAATGCAGTTTGCATCATTTTATACCAATATATATGTCAACAGGCGACGTATCCAACCATTTAGACGGCAGTTTTAAACCAAATTTCAAACGCAATCTACGATTGGTAACCGAGTTCACCTCTGTTGGTATGTTGGTTTACAACCGTGTTAAACGCTTTAGTACTAGCAGTATTTTTTAAGTTGAGTAAATTCTATTTTATGGCTTGGAATTCTTCAAAGATCATGATTTACAATGACAAGAGGAACACATAAGAATCTCATTTAAAGGTACTTTATGTTTCAGTTCAGTAGTCTATTACCAGTTTCCAAACTAGACTGGAATAGAACTAGAGAACTGTCACATAATTTTTTTTAAGATCAGCTAATATTATGTTAATTTCAATATTGTAGCATATATTACAGCTTATTCATCTAGTTGTATAGAGCTTATTCACTCTATTCTGTACCATGTCTTGCTCTGCTGCCATGCCGTAACAGTTTCCGTTACTTATTGTATAATAAAAACATTTGTTCAATGGAATTGGTAATGAAACTGTTTTACTTATAGATTTTCTATTTTCATATTGTAAGGGAAACCTTTGAAATTAAATTTATTTTCATACATATCTTATATTTTAGCTGAAAAATGATGGTAAAAAGTTGAAAATCGTATTGTCGTAACCTCCAACCTAACTAGCGCCATCTAGTCAGCTTTACAGATTATCTCCTGCTGAACCTAAGTAGTATTGTGGGAGCTCGTTGCATAGTGTTTTCATGTCAGCTACTCGGGCAATGTGGCCTGGAGTTTTACGCTTGATAAAATAAAATTGTACATTTTGTACTATAGGTATGCCAAAAATTAATAATTTGTATCATAGAAAGTTTAACTATAAGATGAGGGAGTAAATACTTGTACAATATAAAACGGTCATTTTGGTTGCTTCACTGAAATGATGTCAAATTATTTCTTACAACCCTATAGTGGTGCAATGTATTGGAAATGTATAATTTTATCAAAGGAAGCCATATAGGCTAATAGAGTTGGTGCATATTTAATGGAAGATCCATCAAGAGTTTTATGTAACCTGTAAACCAAAACGAATTTTAACAGCCGATGGCGGACAGAAATGGCTACTTGCTATCACGAAAAATTATTAAATATGTTGGAAATGGTAACTTATGTGTAAACAATGACTTCAGTATTTTTGTTTTCAAATAAATTGTAAATATATTTTATTTTTGCAAAATTAACTTGCGATTTATAATCTTTAAATTAAAAAGCAGCCATGACGGGGTATCGTGTGACGTCACATTTCAAAGTGTACGATGAGTACACGGTTGTACTCATCTTTAAAGGATCAACCAGGACGGTCGAAATGTCACGTGACTATTTGTTTAGCGGAATAATTTAATAAAAATGTGTTTTTGCTTGTTTCACAACACAAAATATATAAAATACTTTTCCTAAAACAGTCAAGTAGCCATTGTTCAAGCGACGATTAACTCGAACGTACATTATGCTCACATTTGTTGCCGATATTGGACGTATACATTTTTTATTTTTTATTGTGTATAAAACCATATCATACCTATAATGTGTCAGTTCTGAAGACCGTTAAGAAGCAACGTATCTTCCAATAGATATGCACTGATCATAAAATCAATTTATAAATACAGGGCTGTAATTTATTGTGCAAGTGTATACTAATAATATGAACTGCATACGTGTAAAAATATTATGAAACAAAATAATTCAATAAAATTGAATTGTGTTAAAGTTTAATTTATATTCTACTTTTAAATTAAAATTGAAGAAAAGTAATATTATTTTTGAATAGAGTTGAATTTAGTTTGTACTGCATTAGAAGAATTATGCTCTGACTGCCTGTATATTTAGAAATGCACTTCTGTCGGTTATGGAAAGCTAATATTAGAGGGTTTATATTTGCTTTCATTATATTGATAAGCATTGGCTTCATCGATGAAGCATTAAAATCAATGAAACGTTAATTTGCAAGGAAGTGGTTACGAATATGGTGCTGTTTTTTAAAGAAGCTATTACTGACTCTGTTAACGTGCAAATATTTATGTACCATGTCCATTTAATACAAATTTCTTGTGCCACTAAAATGATATTTTCAATGATAAGGTGTCTTTATGATGAACTTTAATAGACAACCTCAGAATTTAATTTGATATGAAGGATAAATCAAAGAAATCCAACACGTACTACTTGTTGTCGCGATATTGTGAGCATCAAACATTCATTTTGGTTTCACATTACGTTTAACGCCTAAATGTGAAAAGTGGTTTGCTGGTCATCATTCATTACTGTTCTTTGATAATAAAATCTGAGTGACTTAATTAAGAACCGTTAATAAAGTCACTTAAAGCACCGTTTAAAGTTGCCTTAACTGTATTTAAACTAGTCCTTTATATGCATCGTCAGCAAAAAGTCGCTTAAAATACATTGAGATGCTTAGAATACGTACATTGAGTGTCATAATATTATTACATGTGTGCAGTCAGACTATATATTTTTTTTTTAATAAAAAAAAATAGGTTACTGTACGCACTAATAAATGGCGATGTGTCGTCCAGAGTATAAGGATTTTCTATGACTGATGTAAATAGTATCTTCTTTTTACCGATTCATCGACCATATTGTATTAGTTATTGAAAAGAAACAAACATTTGTATGTACACAGTCAACAGCATGTCAGGCTATACAAAACTGACAAAATTCTCTACTTGATTTTAAACCTCAATATATTGAGGGTAGAGATCACTTATAGAAATTTGAAATTGTGGTAGATTGACATGCAATTGTAAAAAATTGTTAATGAATTATAATAATAATAATAATCTAGTAATGTCCAATCCCGATTCCAGACCCGTAATAATTTCTGAAAAATGCCCAATCAAGTATCATGATTGTTAAATACACAGAACAATAATAATTAGCAAAATTGTTGTTTTTATATTTTTAAGATGTGGACTTATTCAAATAGTTTGTTACATATTATTTATTAGTGTATTCAACAAACCTATCCGGTACTAGATTGGACATTGTGGTAATTGGACATGTCAGGACTTGGCATTTTGGGAATAGGACATTTCGGAGACAGGTCATTACAGCAATAAGAAATTTAAAACGGCAAGATAATTTAAATATGATCTTTTGATCTAAAAATCAACTTGGTTCGTAGTTAAGAGACGGCGCATAGTAGAGTTCTAAAAAAAAAAATTCCTATTGACTAACAGCCAGTCACAAACGTCCATTAAAACTTTCTTAAATTAAAGCGACATTACCCATACAAATACGGCATTCATTAGAGATTAAAGGCGCTATTAAATCTTAATGGACATTTGTGAAACTGACCATTTGGAACCAAAATATTTTTGTAACTTTTTAACTGCTATTTGAAATATGTGAGAATGTTGAATCAGTTGAATGTCGGTAGTAATATGTAAACAAAGCTGTAATATGTAAAAACCAAAATGCAAAAAGATCTAGATTTAAAAAAAATTAATACAATATGGCCGAATTTGTGAACGAAGTAATGTGGGACGAACCAGAATAAAATGTAAATATTTATATAACCTCATGTTTTATTTTTTTCTGACCATTTTCGATTACAAAGTAGTGAGTGGGAATGATGCTCGTCCGCCAGACAGGGCAGGAGTGTCATAAATTTTTAGTTTGAAATTAATTCTTGACTATAAATTCAATTTAATTTTTCCCTGGCTCTTTTATGATCAAACATTTGTGATGAAAGTAGTTTCGTGAGTAAATGAGTTTGGCAGCTTCATAGAACTATTAAGTAAGTCGGTGAAGTAATGAACTATGAACTAAATTTACCAATATTAAAAAATCTTTCGTTACGGGAAGTCGCTTTATTACGGACGAGTCAATAATTCCTGACGCGTCAATTTTCTTATATTTTACCAGTTCGTCACGTAGTGGCAAATAATCAAAAACTAGTGTCTGGCAGCAGCGCCACCCTTTTGGATTTTGTAATTAATTCTTGTTTTGACCTATCTACTCCCTTATAACTCTGTTAACCCTACACTGCATTCAGTCCCTTATATAGTACAACCAATAAAATCGATGTTTTTTCTGATTTGAACCAAGTAGCGACATCTATGATTACGCAAATAAATTGACAACAATCATTGGCACCTATTTAGTGCATTCGTTGAAATCGGATGGCAGCACTATCTCTCGCGGTTAGTTATTCAATTAAAAATTTTGAACGTTAGCCGCGCGCCGTGCGTATACAATTTGCAAAAATAATAAATAATAGTTGTTTACGGAATGCAACAGTGGATAAATTGTTTTTATATAGAAATATCTGTGAACTGAACGAAAGTAAGTATATTTTTCTGATTTAATCGCGATTTTATACTAAATTTTCACAATTTCTGTATGTTCCCGATGAGTCACTTCATGCAGTGATGGTACAATATTAGGTATATTCACTAAAGGTGTGATGCTGTTTTTTTTTAGATAATGGCGAAGAAAAGCTTATCCAGTGCTCAAATCCAAAATTATTTGACAATACCATTAGGCAGTGAAGATGAACAAGACTCCTCAGGCGCTGAAAGTGACAATGACATAACCGTAATTCGATCTACCATCAACAAACTTTGTGAAACGTTTAGCGATACGGATGACGAAGAGGAATCTGTTTTATCGAATAGATATGACTACGTTTCACCATTATCAGGGTCCTGTGACGGTGATATGCAGCAGCATATATCAAATACTAGTGGATCAATTCCTGATGTTCCAAGTACATCTAGATCAACTGTTTGGCAAACACGTCAATCTACAGTTGTATCTTCCGCGTCTACTGTTCCAAAAGACGCTGCTTCTACTTCTGCTGCACCCGTCGCCAGAAAAAAGCGTAATATTATCTGGAAAAAAACAGCTTTCCAACCAACAACCCATGAGTTTTGTGGGCAAACCGATCTAGAGCCACCGATTACTGAACTTGAAACTCCATTGCAATATTTTTTGTACTTCTTTGATGATGATTTTCTAAGTCATATCGTAGAAGAAATGCATAAGTTTAGTGTACAAAAAAACCCATCAAAGCCTTTTTCTACAAGCGTTACAGAGCTGAAAAAGTACATAGGTATCTGTCTGCTAATGGGCATTGCCCCACTGCCGCATACTCGAATGTACTGGGAAACTGAATTAGGTTTGCCATTGATAAAAAATACTATGTCAGTAAACCAGTTTGAAAAAATTCGTCAATATCTGCACTTCAATGACAATACCACTCAGTCACCAGCAGGTACTGCAACACATGATCGTCTCCATAAAATCAGACCTGTGTTAGAAACCCTAAAAAAAAAATGTCAAGCTATACCAAAACGACAAGCATTGTCAGTGGATGAGCAGATGTGCGCGACTAAGGCCTCCAACATGCTGCGACAATATCTACCTAATAAGCCACATAAATGGGGGTATAAACTGTTGGTGCTGTGTGATGATCGAGGATTTGCGTACGACTTCGAAATATACTCTGGGATGGAGAATAACGCAGATCTGAGGCTTCATAATGAGCCTGATTTAGGCGCAAGTGCCAACATTGTTATCCGGCTTGCAAGGTCTATACCCAGGGATAAATATTACAGATTATTCTTCGATAATTACTACACATGCCCTGAATTGATTATGTATCTTGCCAATGAAGGGATATATTCTATGGGAACCGTGAATAAAGGACGACTAGGCAAATCTATACTAATACCATCATTGAAAGATCTAAAAAGTAGCAAGAAGGAAAGAGGATATTCCGAGGAATGGGTAGGCAATGTAAATGGCACTGATATCGTCACAGTTATGTGGTACGATAATAAGCCGGTGGTGTTGTCTTCATCTTTTGTTGGAAAAGAGCCTACTCAAAAAGTAAGGAGGTTTTGTAAAAAACAAAAGAAATATATAGAAATCGATTGCCCTCAAATTGTTCGCAACTACAATCAGCATATGGGTGGAGTTGACTTGCTGGACTCATTCCTGGGTAAGTACAAAATAAAGATGAGGACAAAGAAGTGGTATTTGAGGCTGTTTTACCATTTCCTCGACATAGCCACCATAAATAGTTGGTTGCTATACAGAAGAGTTGGGGAGATGCGACAAAGAGCTACGCCGCTAAAGTTGAAAGACTTCAAGTTTGAAGTGGCAAAGAGCCTCTGTATGTGTGGTTCATCAATGAACAAGAAAAGAGGCCGACCGTCTTCTGCTAGTGATCTGATAGAGGCAAAAAGAATGAGAGCCAATTCAGCGATTCTTCCTACTCGTGACGTCAGGTCTGATGGAGTGGAACACTTCCCCATATGGGGACAGAAGCGCCAGCGATGCAAGTATCCAGGCTGCAAAGGAAAGTCGTTTGTTGTGTGCGAAAAATGCAGAGTCGAACTTTGTTTAAACAAAGATAAAAATTGCTTCCGTTTATTTCACCTCTAAATAAGCAAATTTATGTAGGTCATTGCATGTTGTGCCACATATGGAACAAAATAAAAAAAACATTATTTCTTTATTACTATTAGTTTTTTTTCAAATAGCTGTACTTCCCGTGTTCTAGACCATAAACATGAACTGGTAAGATTTTTTATTTAAAAAAAAAAATCATGCAGTGTAGGGTTAAGAAATAGACAATGGAGGAGTAACAATTTTTTTTATTTAAAATAAAGAATAAGCATAATCAAAAATATAGTGAAAAATTCTCATATAATAATAAAAAAGTTATGGGACATTGAAATGGCACTCGCTAGAACAATGAGGAAGTATTTAAAAAAAACATTAGTTCCCGAAATCAAACTAGATGTCGCTACGGTACGTTCTTGATTTGTCCATGACAACCTTTCCGGTTTTCTTTCAAGTTTAAAAGTAAATTAGTTTTCAAAACTCAATAAACAACTCATATTCCATTTTTACTTTTTCGTATTTGTATTGATATCTAAGTTTCAAATTTCAGTTTTTTTAATGTTAGCTAAAAAGAACAGAAATGACTGTCTTTGGTCCATTCGTTTCCTGCAAAAATCAACTTTTGCTAGAGTCATCATCTAGAGGAGGTGCTTTTTTAGTGTTTTCTTCTTTTTTTAAATACTTCTTCATTTCGCTTCACGCGGTGGGACCACAGAGTGTGCCGATTGACAATGTGATTTTGTAAAAATCCAGACCCGAATTCAAATTCACTCATGTGTCCGAATTCACGTCATTTAGTTCTATTGATTTCATTTTATGTATAAAAATACAAAGCAAATTAGATTGTAGATAGGTTTTTCAGATATTCTATTCCTATTTCATTTCGAAACTCACTTCACTTATGCCACGAAACGTTATTACTAATTCAAGGTTGAGCGGATGTCGCTTTTTGAAGTGTATTCGGACACCTAAGTGAATTTAAAATTGCGTTTGGATTTTCACAGAATCGCAGAGCAGTATTTTAAGTTGTTTTCGAGCATCGCTTGAATCTTACAGTTGCGTTTTGTTTATTATTCGAAGGAGGGCGCATTAAAAATTTTTTTACTATTGCCTTACAGTACAACAATAAAAAACCCTAATAAAATATTCTTAAACAAAGAAAATAAAAAATGTTAAAGCTTTTGCATACTCTTATAAAGTCTTAACATGTAGGTCCTCACAAACCAGACCAAAAGAGATACTAGTTTTCGGAATAGTGGCTGTGCCATACTGGCGAACGCACAGACAGATGTGACAAATCTATATTTTCAATTCAAAACTCTAAAAAATATGCTGTGACCTAAAACTTGTAAATATGCGTGTAAAGATGATTTTATGTAGGTACTTAAAAGACTAATTTACATAGATCGATGGGGCATAAATGCGGAGTGTGGTAATTATTGTGCTTATTTTAAATGGACGATCATAGACTTTTATTGGTTTAGCGACTAGTACATGTTCATTTAGGCTCGTATGCGGAGTGCGGAATTTTCTGTGTTTATTTGCATAAGTCAGTGTTTAATGAAACTAAAAGAATTAATCAGCCAGTGACGAGCTTGTACAAATGTAGGTACTGTAATGTACATAGTACAATATAATGTGCTTGGTTTAAAAAAATAATAATAGCGAAACTGCAAATAATACTTTGTCATTCATACAACTACTTAGAAAACATCACAAAAACAAAGTATTTTGAACAGGTTCTAAGGTATTAAAAAGTAATATTGACACGGAACCCTTGGTGCGCGAGTCCGACTCGCACCTGCCCGTTTTTTATGATTGGTATCTAAAAAAGTTTAATACATATTAAAAGTTAGAATATAAAAGCACATTTTTGTCTTTTTCTTCATATTATTATAGAAATATAAAAAAAAATACATACAAATATAAGAATATAATTAAAGGTCCCATAATAACTAAAAATAAAAAACGCCAGAGCAATAATAAGCAGAAAATATTATATTAAGTGATTTGCAAAGTACTGTGACGGACGTCACAGGTGACGCAGGCCATAGACGTTCTGTACGAAATCACGCAGTTTTAAATAATCTCCTGTCATTTATTAACAGATTTTAATTTTGTTTCCTGTATTTATTTTACTTTTAACTTATATTTTTATGTAGTTTCGGATATAAACGATTCATTATAGCGCTGTTGGGCAGATGCTAGTCCGACATCGCCACAACAGCTAATTATCTCTATAATGAAATAGCTGTAATTATAACAAATTTTATAAAATAGATAATTTTTAATCCCCTATTTATCAGTACATATGTTGTACAGATGTTGATATATTGCAATAAAAAAATATCTCAGGCTTGGCATAATGAGCCAGTTCTCTAACACAAATTTATAATAAACAACGGATAAACTGTCAGTGAGTGACAGACATTTTGACAATTGACTTGACACTATTGACGTGACGTGTAAACTGAATCCATCGGTGCCACATAATTTTCTTATTACAAACAAGAAAAAGCTCAAAATGAGCGTTTTCAAGCGTGACAAGAAAGAAGAAGAGGAAGGCGGAGGTAACCCCTACCTGAATTTGGATAAAACCATTGTTTTACAAGAGTCTAGATACTTTAACCAGACTCCGGTCAATCCGCGAAAATGCAGCCTTATTCTGACGAAAATCTTATATTTACTGAATCAGGGAGAGAAGTTTACAACTCAAGAAGCCACAGAAGCGTTTTTCGCTACCACCAAACTATTTCAATCGAAAGACGTGATGCTTCGTCGAATGGTGTACCTTTGTATAAAGGAATTGAGTACTTTAGCTCAAGATGTTATCATTGTTACCTCTTCTTTGACTAAAGATATGACTGGGAAAGAGGATTTGTACAGGGCAGCGGCTATAAGAGCTCTATGTAGTATCACTGATAGCACAATGTTACAGGCTATTGAAAGGTACATGAAACAAGCCATTGTTGATAAAAACCCAGCTGTTAGTTCTGCAGCTTTGGTTTCTGCGCTTCATTTATCTTCTACCGCGCCAGATCTAGTCCGCCGATGGGCTAATGAAGCTCAGGTGTGTATTTAAAACTAACAATAATCACACTAAACACATGTTTACAAAATGAGTAATAGTTTTGTATTACTTTTTCCATTATGTAGGTTGTAAAATTTTGCAATGTTATAATATATACCTACTTCATGGTGTCGTTTATACATCTATGAAAATATCATGCATGATTATATTGATACATGTATTTTTAGTTGCCTTAAAATGTAAATTTAATAAGGCATTCTTCATCAAAATATCCACAGTGGAAAAGATGTCTTGTGAATTAAAAAAATAGTTTGTGGCTCAAATACCATGTGTCTTGGTCTTCCGTTTGATCCTGGTCCTCTAGTAACTATTCCAGTTTTCCCTTAAAATTTTGAAAAAACTCATTCAAAAAGCTATGGAATGCTACAAATACCCTGGATTAACATCTTGGCTATGGTTTGAAAGTTCATATTTATTCAAACTCATGGAAAATGTTTATATAAGCATTAATCTAATAATTTTTATCTGTTCATTAAGAGATTCCATTCTGATTTTGATTTATTTCAAAAAAGTGTTAAAATAAGTGCCAAAAAATGAAGAATACCAAATGTCTTACTTTTATAGTATTTTTAACAACACTTAAAAAAATATCAAATAGAAAAATTGCCCACATATAATTCTTATTAATTAATTGCTGCAAACATCAAAATAAACAATTGGCTTTATTTTGTTGGCATAATTTCATTTAGCATAACAAAAAAGAAGAGATCAATTTTGCATTCATAATGCTGTACTGTAAAATATTCTTAATGAAAAATGCCAAAACCAGTTAGGCTAAAATGTATCTCGGATCTTTCAGAAGATGATTTTAACTTTGAACTTTCTGCGTAATGATGGTTTTGCTTTTTTATTTATGCAGCCAATTGAGTGTTTGTCAAATGATTTTCTGCATAATGAACTTAATGCCATTCATTGTTCTGAATAATTATATATAAGATATTCTTAATGAAAATTGCTTCAAGGGAGCACTCATTCTCATTATTCTTACCATAAAAATAAATTCAGTATTATTTGTTTATTTACAGGAAGCTATCGCATCTGACAACGCCATGGTATCTTACCATGCGCTTGGAGTAGTTGCTGGGTCAAGAAAAAATGATAAACTCTCAACTGTCAAATTAGTGACTCGTCTAGGTCGATCCCCATTGAAATCGCCATACGCCCTCTGCCTGTTAATTCGGTTAGCAGCACAGCTCGTAGAAGACGACGACTCTGACGCTTCACAATCTTATATTGATTTTATAGAGTGCTGCCTCAGACATAAGTCTGAAATGGTCATATATGAAGCAGCCCATGCAATTGTCAATCTAAGGAAAACAGCTAGGGATCTCGCTCCTGCAGTGTCGGTGTTGCAGTTGTTCTGTGGATCTTCCAAAGCCAGTTTAAGACTGGCAGGCGCTAGAACGCTTGCTAGATTAACAGCAAAGCACCCTACAGCAGTAGCTGCATGTGCTGTTGATTTGGAAAACCTCATATCGGATCCCAATCGTTCTGTCGCTACTTTGGCAGTAACAACTTTACTAGCTACTGGTGCCGAAAGCTCTGTAGATAGGCTGATGAAGCAGATATCGAGTTTCGTGTCTGAAATCTCTGACGAATTCAAGATTGTTGTTGTCAGAGCTATTCGGCGCCTCTGCACCAAGTTTCCAAGAAAGCACCAGTCCTTAGCCGCATTTTTAGCTGGTATGTTACGCGACGAAGGGGGTTTAGAATACAAAGCGGCAATCGCTGATGCAATAATCGCTCTAGTTGAAGAAAACCCCGAAGCGAAGGAGACTGGTTTGGCACACTTATGTGAATTTATCGAAGATTGCGAGCACACTGCTCTGGCTGTTCGTATTTTGCATTTATTAGGTCGAGAAGGCCCAAAGTCCCGTCAACCTTCACGTTACATTCGTTTCATTTACAATAGAGTTATTCTTGAATCGGGGCCGGTTCGCGCGGCTGCTGTCTCCGCAGTTGCCCAGTTCGGTGCGCAACGACCCGAACTACTTCCAAACATAAGAGTTCTTTTGAATCGTTGTCAGATGGACGACGAAGACGAGGTGAGAGACAGAGCTATTTACTACAGCGCTATCTTGGATACCAGTGATCAGGAACTGATAAACGACTATATAGTTAACGTACCTAAACCTAATCCAGTGTTACTAGAAAAAGCGTTACGTGATCACTTAGCTACGCAGCCTGATAAACCTTTCGATTTGAATGCGGTTCCGTCTGAGGAAGAGCCTAAGGAGAATAAGGAGGCGCCAGTCGAGATCGAAGTCCGCAAACCTTTACATGAGTCTATGGAAGAGATGTACTCTGAGCAGTTGTCGAAAATACCTGGCATCGAACGTGCCGGTCCGATTTTCAAAACCAATCTCCCGATTGATCTGACTGAAGCGGAAACTGAATATAGGGTTAAATTACTCAAACATGTATATGCTCGTCATGTGGTTTTACAATTCGAATGCGTGAATACACTAAACGATCAAATATTGGAGGACGTTCACGTTCGTTTAGAGGTGCCCCCGGAGTACGAGATAAAATCAATAGTCCCATGCCAGAAATTAGTGTGCGATAAGCCGGGAAGCGTTTTTGTCGTTGTAGAATATCCGTGCGCTTTCCTAGACAGTTTGGGGACTTTCGGCGCGACTTTAGAGTTCACCGTTAGAGATTGCGATCCAAATACTGGCGTGCCGGAACCAGGAGATGGTTATGCTGACACGTATCCTTTGGAAGAGTTCGATATGGGCTGTTCTGATCAGATTAGAGCTAGAGCGGCGGCAGATGATTGGGATCAGACGTGGGAGCGGTCATCGAATGCACCTCAAGCTTCAGATACGTTCGTTTTGCCGCAGAATAATGCTAACGATGCGGCGAAGGCAGTTTGTGAACATTTAGGTTTGCCTAAAGCTGCGATTGTAGGGGAAGCTGTCAAGGAGATTAGGGGAGGCGGAATATTCAGGGGTGGGGCTCCAGTACTTGTCAGAGCGAGGTTGGTTTTAGGCCCTGAAGGTGTTACTATGCAGTTAGCCGCTAGGTCTCCAAGGGAAGATGTCGCGCAACTTCTTCTAGCCGCTGTTGGTTAATTTTTTAAGCATTAGCCAAGTGATGTATTCTTCTAAATGAGTCTAGGTTATTTATAATAAAATCGATGTTCAAACTATGTTTTTCAATACATATATTATCATTTTGTTACAAATTGACAAAGGATGGTATTACATATGTGGGAATAATTCAAAAACACCTAAATAAGTGTATCAGTAGATTTTAGTAATCTTTACTGTCATTGCCTTAGATGTCACTTTTTTTAAAGCTAACTTAACTTCCAATATATATTCACTACTTCTGAAGATTCATAATACTGTTCAAGATGTCTGCTGATATTTCAATTATATAATTCAAACGAGGACTTGATAAGGATATTAGCAATCGTTCATACATGTAACTTGTACTCTGATGCACTTCAAATTGTCAATGCTTTAAGGTTTGAAATCGATGGAGAAAATAGATGTTAATAACTTGATTGCTGTCGTCTGTACACCAAGAATAACATTCCGAATCAAATTTTATACATTTTTGTCAGGTATATATTTGCTATAATGGTTTAATATACACACAGCACTACGTCAGCATGCCACATGATTTTTAATTATATCCTCAATGAAAAAGGTTTAAAATAAAGGGAAAAATTTAACAGAACCTTATTGCGATTTTTAAACAAAAAATAAATAGGTTATTATTATTTTCATTATTTTATGAATTGTATGTAAACAGGTTATTAAAAAAATGTTAATAAAATAAATATAACCAATCCATATATAACGCTTTTTATTGTCAATCAACATTATAAAAGATATTAATGTCAACAAGAAACGATAACAAAAATAAGTAGATACTCCTTTACTTATAACTAAGATACAATTAAACTTAGAACTATATGATTGGAGCGATTAAAGGAACTTTATTACTCTTACACCTAGTTGCACAAAGGTCCATTAAAATTGTCATTAGTTCAATGCGACTAAACCCGTACAAATTTGACATTCAGAGTTTAGAGGCGTCATTCAACTTTAATAGACGTTTGTGAAACTTACCGTTAATATAAATCAGTTTATCTGAAATGAATTCGAGCCATTACGAATGTTATGTCATTGATCATTTATGAAAAGGAGAGGAGCTATCTGATGTAGACGGAGTACAATGGCAATATACAATTAGTTGAGACTATTAAGAATCGATTATAACGTAAAAACTAAAATCGAGGCCCATACAACAAAAAGTTACACTTATGCATCCTTTTCTTTAAATAACAACAGAAGTAAGCTTTCATTAATATGATAATCAGGAATATAATTATATTTGATTATAAAATATGAGTGAGAAATAACATTAAAATAAATCTACATTAAAAATATAAAGAGTGGTATGCACCATAAGCACCAAAATCATAGTTTTCTTTCTTTTATAGTCTAAATAATACGTATACACATTCTTGTCATCCACTGTGCACTTATAATAATAAATGATCGAGTTTTTTAAACTGCTAAAGCAGTGTTGCCTCGTTTCGATGTCTTATTTTTAAATTTCAAAGTTTAACAAAAAATACTTTTTTTATGGGTATACTGTAATCATGTAATTAATTTGAAATAAAAAAAAAATAGGAAGGTGACGTTATTTCATATAATCATCATCATCATCAGCCCTATTACGTCTCCTTAAAACAAGCCATCCTTAAAAATTGTTAAAGAGGATGGGCCATGATCCTCCAAGCTGGCCCAATGTGGTTATTAACGACTGCAAATGCAACCAGGACCAACGGCTTAACGTGCCTTCCGAAGCACGAAGTAGTAGCTCGAGTTAATAATTTTTTGGTCACCCATCCTGTGACTAGCCCTTGCGAAAGTTGCTTAACAACAACGATCGCGGGGCGCGGCGCTTATCCACTACGCCACCGAGCTACTCTATTCATATAAATTTAATATAATATACATTTTTCATGACATTTAAATTACACAGTTTAATTATAAAATCTTAATCGAAAGAAAAAACTATATATACTGAGACAAACGATGTATAGAACGTAATTACTCAATTATTTATCAAGTAATTTAAAGTATAAATTTTTTTATTTCTTTTTTTATTAAGTCCACGCGCATTTTGTGTGCCAGACAATAGTACTTAAAAACTATAAAAACAAAATTAATTTATGAATGAAAAAAAAATAACACTACCACGTAAGACATTTTTCTCTCTTTAATTTCACTCGAATAGATTAAAGTATCTAATGTTAGTACTTAGTGTGCATGTGCTTATGCTTCCATCGCAGTCGTTGTCAGTCAAACAGAGCATTATTTTTAAAGCGTTCTCTAAAGTTAGCGCTTGCTCCAAGCATTTAATTACCACTTGTCTGAAAAAAAAATTTTTTTTTTCTCTTTACAATAGTTGTTTACGACTGACCCCATGTAAGTGTTGAATTTGTTAAGGACTAGTACATTAGGTAAAGACTCAAAAATTCACCAAACAATTTTAGCGCTAATCTGTTTGTTATTAACTTCCAAAATCAATTGCACTTTGGCATTGCGATGTTATATAAACAGTTTCAATACATACCTGTATCTCGTCATGCGCTTGTCATCAGCATTCACACCTGCTTTGAGAAGCAAAGTTTTTAGTGTAACACTTGCTTTTGATTCTCTATGGATTATACTGAAAAAATAATAATATCAAATAATAATGTTCAAATATCTAAAGATTAATATATGAAGTACTGATCCCTAATGTTCGACCTCTACCAAGCTGAGCTGACTGTGCTAAAGGTAGTTCGGACCTTTATACAATTGACTACTTGACGTTATAACAATAACTTATAAAATGTAGTATAAGAATTATGCAGTATTTTCGTTTTTTTACGAAAAGTTAATTAACCAACTTATAATCTGTGGATTACAAGAACCGAAACGCGGTCAGCTAAGGCGGAGCATCTTGTGACGGTACATTTCAATAATTTAATATCAACATTACGAATGCAATCAGTACTTATATTTATTGAAATGTGATGTAACCGCTCGAAATGTCACGTGACTGTTTTGCGGGATAATCTAAATTAATAAATAAAAACATGTTTCTTCCTCTATTTAAGAACAGTTTTTGGAGAAAAATAGATGTGATAGTTATTTAATATTTTCATGTGAAATTTTTTTTTTCCAAAACCGTCTAATAGCTAATTGTTAAGATTCGTTGCGTTGTCAGATGTAGCCGTCGGATGAGCGCGGTCGGCTAAAGGCTGGTGCGCATTTGCGATACGCTTAGGGTTGCTATCTTTTAAATTAAAAAAAGTCTGATTCTGCGCTATTTCAGGTCGGAAATTTTGCTCTAAAAGTCGGAAATTACCTTCGTTAATAGCCGAATCTGTTATAAAGTCAAAATGTAAATTTTATAATAGTAACTTTTGAAATAATTTAAGAATCTGTAACAAGTTATTATTTATTAACCATTTTACTAACAAGTATCATTTAGTGTTGTTTTTGTCATCATTTGGGTTTGATGGCAACACTATATACACTGCGCTCTGCCGCCGCCCGGTTGGTGGAAATCGTGTAAAGGACAGAAAGATACCTGTTCAAGTTGTCTGTGATATTTGACACTATCAGATGTAACTTATCGACTTTGGTATGTAAACACCGCTTCTGTTCTTCATTTATCTTGCCTTTTCTGAAGTCTTGTATAGTTACACCTCTGAAAAATTATTTATTTAAACTTTATTGCACGCAAAACTCCACAAATAGCGGACATAATATATATTTTTTAATACAAATCCGTGGCCGAGTGCTCGGAAGCCAGTCCCAAGGTGTCGCCTTCTTTGACACTCGTATATATAATCAAGTAAAAGTATTTACTAAGCAAATTTATGACGTATATAAGTCTTAGCAATAATATACTGTATTTGGGTGTGTGTAGCAAAAGCTTGCATGATTTGAGAAGAACAATTCAGAAAGTTTTATTTTAAGCTATCTGTCATTACTATACATATGAAGTAAAGTAACGTAGCAGAGCTTTTTCGATATTATTTTAGTTAATTTGATGCTTAACAGATTTTTTTTGTGTTTTCTCAGCCATCATTGTTTTAATGTGTATCATATGGCTGTACTGTGCAAATAAAATAAAAAATAAATAAGATTTTAAATGAAGTTAGCACGTTATCATAAAGCATCAATGAAATGAAATCTTTATTACCTTTTAAAGTAGTAGTTTGACTGAACCTCTTCACTTTAACAGCGCTTGTTCAATGTCGTGGTCAAGTATGTTTTTTTACAGAATAACACAGTTATAATAATTAACGTTTGACGTCTATAAAAGTTTTAACTACTTCAATTAATTATAAGAAATTATATGAATATTATTAAAAAATCAATAGCCGTACGATGCCCATTGCTGAGTATAGACCTCCCCATAGATTTAAGTTTAATTATTATAAATTTATTTTACTCACATAAACTTATGTATTAACTTAAAACAGCTACTCAGTTCAGACAAGAATGTCCTCACTAAAGTGTGAGCGTGCAGGCTCTCGTTTTCGAAGCCGCTATCATTGGTGCAGTCATCTTTGACAGTTAAAGATTCCGTATCGCTTACTTCATATTTGACATCATTGCCAGCAACGTTATCATTATTCAGAGAATCGAGAACACTCGTGTTATTAACTTTTCTTTGGGAATCCCCCTTATGTTGATCGTCCTCATAAGCAGGTTCATTGTCAGTTTTAACGGTTTTCGATTTAATTTTATATACAAAGCTCATGGTATCATCTATAGACATGTCACTGTCATTTTTCCCGCCATTTTCATCTATGATGAAAGTAGATGTCATATCTTCGGTACTCATATCGTGTATTTCGGAATAATCTAGCGCATCTAAATCTATTATGTCTGGTATTACTTTCAATTTATCTTCAAAGGTTTGTATCGGTTTAATAAGTCTCGTTATTGATGGTTCTTTATCGTCGGCTTTATCAAAAGCGTTGGCATGTATAGGAACATTTAAGTTATTGTACATCTGTGCTACATTATCATTATTGGACACTAAATTGTTTTCTTCGATTTTACTTAATGAATTCGGTTCGTTGATTCTTTTAGTGGTTTTGTTATATACAAACTTCTGCATTGAGGCATCCTCATCATTCGATACAGCATTCTCTTTGAATTTCAAATTGAACTTAACGGCTAATTCTCTAGTTTTCGCCCCATTTTCATTATTGTTAGACGAATCTAAGTCTTCCAGAATATTAACAAGGTTGTTTTTCGTTCTCTTATCGTCAGTGTTGCCACTGGCGACTTTTTGGTTGTCCTCTTTAGAATTTTTTATGGTTATCGATTTATCGTTATCTATGTTCAGTAATTTTAAATTACGACCGAATGT